GGGATTAGAACATAACATAATCGCTGGTTGGGATTATTACCGTTGTATTGTAGTGATGATATGGCTTCATATAAGAAAGGTAATGAGAATACACTGTATATTTCTCTGCCAATGTGATTTACTCTTTCATCCAGCTACTGTATGTTCTGTTTTTCCGACTGCAGTAGGCAGAGAAAAGCTAGGACATTGATTAGACATTGACTGTGACTGTAGTCATTCAAATATAGAGCAGCTATTTCTAGCAACTCGCGTGCGTGTGTGAGCATACGCGCATGGGTACATGTGTGTAGGTGAATAGCTTCCACTGACGTGAATCTTACAGATTTGAAAGTCACACGCCCCCACAGACATGCTGACAGTAGACAGCATGTTGATTTGGCACAAAAAGATAGAAATAGATCAACACTGAATAATACACAGTACACAGCTGTAAGGGGAGGGGTGTAGGAAACTTGTGAAAAAGTGTGAAGTGTGAAACAAGGAACTCAAACAGTGATAAAACAACCAATTCCTTAAACAGACGGGCTCAGGTACCTGCAGTCATGTTGGAATCTTTTGACCCTCGCTTACCGTTTGTTGGGGACAGCACATCCAGAGGGAAAAATTACCAATAAATGAAAAACGCTTGAATTTATCTTTCACATTGTACTGTAGCTTTGAATGAGAGGAAAGGCAAACAGGTGCACCACCTGCATGTGGTTAGTCAGTGCCCCAGTTTCAAACCTTACACTTCTTCTTCTGGACAAAAATCATGGTGTGTCACATTAAAGGAAACATTTACATTTGAAAAAAGCTAAGCATGCCATTTCTGATGCAAATTTTGATCTGATGACGAAGTGAAGAATGTCGCCAGTCCTGTTATTTTCAACTAAAACTTCAATCAACATTTATCATAGAGCCAATGCATTTGCACTATTGTCAAAAACCTAGCAGCAAATAGTAAATGAGGGACAATTTGATATGCAACTAACATAGCACTTAGGGCACATGCTGTACCTCTAGGTCAATGGTGCATTCACTTGCTACTCACATAGTTGCATATAAATGTTTATTAGCTTTAAGAATTGATATCTGTTTCCGAGTTGTTCAAGCTGCAAAAAATCCTAAACTCACAATGTCAAAGTAACACAATTAATGTATCTCCCCTGTTTTGGATCTGCTCCAAAGTGTAATGTGTTTGTCATTGACAGATGTTACACCCTTTCACATGATTTCATGAAAATTGGGACAGTAGTTTTTCCATAATCCTACAGTCAGATAAACAGACAGACAAACGGAGCAGAAACATACCCTTGTTGGAAGTAATAATACACAAATTCATTTTTTGCAAGGGCTTTCCAGAAACTAAACAGGGTTTGTTTCTCATACACTGTAGTGACACCCAGCATAACTCAGTTTTGTGTACTGTATGTCAATGCAATGTCATGTGGATAATTACTATCAGAATGTTTATTGATTGCCCTGTTTGTCACTGTGCTAGCTTGATAGCTATCATGCTAGCAAGCAGGAGCTAAAGCTGTCAATATGCGAACTGGGATTGTGTGTAAGTGTGAGACAGAATGGTGTGTGTGTGTGTGTGTGTGTGTGTGTGTGTGTGGTGTGTTGTGTGTGTGTGTGTGTGTGTGTGTGTGTGTGTGTGTGTGTGTGTGTGTGTGTGTGTGTGTGTGTGTGTGTGTGTGTGTGTGTGTGTGTGTGTGTGTGTGTGTGTGTGTGTGTGTGTGTGTGTGTGTGTGTGTGTGTGTGTGTGTGTGTGTGTGTGTGCCGCCTGCAGTCAAATATCCTTGCACCAGCTCCATGTCTGTGTAGGTTAGTCATGCTCTGATTTATGTGGCAGTCAACTCTCTCTCTCTATTTCTCTTTTTTCACAAACACAGGCACACTCACACACACAGCTGGTGGCCGGCAGCTATGTTTTGTGGCGTGATATTAGATAGATCCTCTGTGTTCACAGCCAGCCGTTTCATGTTGGATGAGTCATATAGCCTGTGTCGCAGGGTGCAGTGATACAGTGATGTAAACTACTGTAACATGAGCCTAAAGATAGATAAAGTCTATTAGAATAATAAAGCCCCTCCTGTATATATAGATTTATTGTGAGTGCTTTCAGCCCTTCACTCTTAATTTTCCGTTGTGAGATTGATGTTGTTGTTGAAACCTATTATTCTGTCCGTTTCCAAAGGTTTCATTCAGTTAGATTTTCCCAAACGGAAAGAAATATAACAATTTACCATCTTTCCTTACTCCATATGCAGTTAAAATATCTGCCAAGTTAAAGGGTGATTTTGTGATGATCACTGTTTCTATTGATGATGCTAAAAAAATGTTGGGCGCAGAACTGCAAATATGACAACACCGCTTCAACAAAGTATGGCGGGGCAGGAACAATACAAAATTGCACAATAGACATTTCCAACAACTGTGCAATGATACAAATAATACCGCAAATTTGAAGCAGGAAGTTGTTACGTACTGTAAACTGTAGGACAGTTTGGGTATTAATAACGAGTCTTTTCTGATTGTCTGACTACTTGTTTTTCTTGCCCCAGCAGACTTTTCTTTACTGCAATCCTAAAATCTAGAATCCATTTTCAAAATCTCTGAGCTTCATCAGCACATCTGGTGATAAAGACAATGACTTTGGGTTAAAAGCAAAAAGAAAACGTATTTGTGGCCTTTTCTCTTGCTCTATCTCTGTTCGACAATACTTTGGATCTGCTGCATCTATTTGTATCTGTTTTTTTTTATTTAAAGGATCAATAATGAGTCCAACAATGTTATAGCAGATCAATCTTTAATCAGTGGAGCTCGTTAAAGTCTGGATTTTTATGTTGTGGCTGGAAAAACAAAATAGAATTTGCCACAGCACCCAGAGTAGGTTAAGGAATGAATTTCCCTTTTTAGTTTCCAAAGAAACGGCAGTGAACTACAGTTGTCATGAGCTAAATATTGTAAGGTATACACATCTTTTCAGTTGCTTTACTGGAAATAGAAAAATGATAATAATGATGCATCCAAAATCAGACTGGACCAAAACACTGCAAGGAATCTTTGAATCAACCTCATTAACATTCATGAAACAATTTGGTGTCACTGAGAGGCTTTGTGAAGCAGCTGCAGCAAGTGATGAGTTTGCATTAAATCAGCGAGGAATTGCAAGCAAAAAACTGACTTGATCCCAGCTTGATGAAGCACAACAAAAAAATAATGTTGGACGAATAACGAGATCAGAGATGCAGGAGGAAAACCAAACTCCAAATGAGACAGACTCTGAACATACTTGAGCTTTTACAGTTGGCAACACATAGGCCGCTCTTTTGAGAATACTCCATGCTCATAATTACAGTATCATTCTGATTAAGGCTCCGGGCTGAGCTAATTTGCAATCACAGTTTAAAGTAACATAACAAAATATATCTTGTTTGATGGTAGTCATCGTTCTAGAGGGACACACTCTACAGTATGTAGCCGGCTTGATTGCTAGAGAAAACACACTGGCAGCAAATTGGCATAGTTTCAGAGGAGATAGAGCAGTTCTAGCACTGCAAACCTCAGCACAGGGGGTAATGAGGGAACATTAGGGCACAGCATAGGCCGGTCCAGTGTCACTGTTATGTAAGCGATGTCTTGGTGGCAACAAAGAGCCCCTGTCTCTTTCTGTCCCCCATCCCTCCGGCCCGCCGGCTGTCTGTCCTTAACCCCGTCAACCTCCCCGAACTCCTTATGTCTCTGTCTCCCTCTGTGCACGTTTCCCTGTCACACTTCCCCCTTGCTTACAATTATAATCACTCTTTTTTTCTTATTCTGTGCTCACGCTATGAATCAGCTGTTGGCAACATTGGTTCTGCAACCCAGTTGACCTTGTGCTTCCTCTAAGGAGGAAAGATGTCCCTGCATGGTGTTTACATAATCCTGGAAAACACATGAAGAACACTGAACCAAGGACATACACTTTTCAACCTTTGAGTTCATTAATAAACGACACACATACAATAACTTTTCTATAAAAATACACTTCACTATTTGGTCTATACGGTCGTTTATGGCCCAGTCAAACTGCTCTGGTTGGTTACTGGCCATCACCTGCATGAACATGTTGCTCCATACATCACTATAATGGAAAGTTACTGTACAAATCTTAGGAATACAGAAAATACATACAATTGGAACGCCACACATTTTTCTCATGAAGTTGGGTAACTGATCATAAGGAGAACGACTGAGCCTTTGGAAACAGTTGTATAATGTGCTCTGTGACTCAGGAAGAGCTTTATGTCATTAAGGTTATCCTGGATTAATATTGAAGTGAACAGATTTGTGTGCAAACTGACGATATGATGATGTTAAGACTGGGACATGCAAAAAGGGTCTTAAGTAAAGATGCCACAGATATGCATTAAGGTTCAAATCAGCATCTTGATCCATGCTAAGGACTAAAAGTCCAGAAATCTCAGCCTCTGCTGCAAATCCCAGTTTGACCGTTTCTTTTAAATCTCTCTCCAGCTAAATGTTGGTGATTCAATCATTTGAGTACCCCTTTTAAGAATTAGAAATAGGTGTGTCAGAATGACAACTGATAAACTCCCACAAAAAGAGTACAATGGCAATGCTGTGCAATTTTCCTACTTTTGTATAATTATATTTGATAATGTAAAAACATGACTGAACATGACCAAAGCCATCCCAAACCACAAAGTGTTTGTGCCTTAAACCAAAAGATCCTTCAACATTACTGTAATTTTCTTCATAGCACTTTCTCAAGTGAAAAACCTAAAATCACCAAAACATTTGTGCATCCATCTTCCTTTTTCTCAGCTCCTATCCATCCAAAGATCGTGCTGTTAACAAGTTGTACTTGTAAACGTCATGTACTGTAGAATTGTCTTTATTTATACAGTGAAACATGTTGTTGCATAGTGACACATCTTGAGACATTTGTTGAAAGCAAGTTTTATTTTGTTAAAATAAATGTGATGCTGACAATGACATTCTCTCTCTCATAGTGAAATCTGACAACAAGGACAAACAGGAGAAGACAGACTTAATGTCAAGCAAGACAGCCAAGTTGGACACCTTTGACAAGAAAGAAGAGCAGCAGAAGAAGGATGCTGGTCCAGAAAAGAACCAAAAGTCTGAGAAGATCCTCAAGGAGGAGGATAAGATCGAGAAGATGAACGCGGAGAAAAACAAGGAAAAGGCAGAGAAGGGGGACAAGCCGGAGAAGACCAACAAGGATGAGAAGAAGGAAGATGAGAAAAAGCTGGCTGAGAAGAAAGATGATAAGGGAGCGAAAGGGACAGCCAAGTCTCCAACAGGCCCCGGCAGCAAGACCCTGCCAAGCCCTGACAGCAAGAACAAGGTGGGTGACACACGCACGCACACACACACACACAGATGCACACACACACATCTGTTATCCACACACATTTCCTGCATCCAATTTCACACACTCAAAGGGGGAGAGTGTCCAGTGGTTCCAGAAACAGCCTATCACCCAAAGGTCACAGCTTTGACCTCTGCCACAGCCGGTGTGTCTAACAACAGCATGTTAAAGTGTCCTTGAGCAGGACACACTATTTCCTGCCTGTCCGCACACAAACGCAAACACACACACACACACACACACACACACACACACACACACACACACACACACACGCACACACACACACATCAATGCTCGGGCTGATGGCAGAAATTACCCAGGCATCTTCCACTTCAATCAGAGCACTGTTAGCACCTGAGGCCACTGTCATAGCTGAGTAGATGTGTTGCACCATCCATCTTTTTATGGCTGCAACTATTCATTATTTTCCCCATGGAACCATCTGCAGATCATTTTACAGAAACAAATTATTACAAAATAACAAAAGATTGTTTCTTTATGCCGAATGTGATGTCAAAAATGCCTGTTTTGTTTAACCCACTAACAAAAGCAGCAAATAACCAGCTGGAATGTTGAATCATAAGATTATTACTTTTTTGTTTTAATCTGGTTAGTTTTATATTGATTTAGTTATTCATTAATTGATAGTCGCTGCAGCTCTACTTGGACAGAGAATAAACTACTTAAGACACATGATAGACAGATATGAGACTGGAGAAGAGTGGCACAAATATGTATCCAAATGACCAAATGCTTCCATTAGCAACTAAGCTAAAAGTTGCTAACTGACAGGAAGGAAGCTTTAGAGAGCCTTATCAATATCTCTACATTGATTAGCATGATGTAGAATCCTTAGAACACAATTCTAGAGGGAGTAAACAGCCCAGTGCAGAGAAATAGACAAAACTCAGAGAGCTGTTGTGACTCACTCGAGCTAGCATGTTCCCAGCTGGCTAGCATGTAGGAAATTAGCATGCCAGCTACAGTAGTTCACCAGCTAGCCCTATGAGTTGTCATTACTCACCAAGCTTCAAAACAGCACCTGTTTCGTGAAGGTACATTTAGTGTAGAACTATCTGTGCCTTTAGTATGTGTAAGAAGTGCTAAATGTACATCATTTAGATTATGTGGGTGCATAATGAGTGTCTGCAGAGAATCCTATATCTAAAACCTCAGTTTGGTATCATATGCTGCTCTTTAACTGCTTCTCATTTCATCAGATTTGAGGCTTATAATTTTATAATTTACCACTCATTAACCCTCAAAATAGGCTATAAATTGCTTATTTTAGATGTTTTGTATGGTTGCTGGCTGTCTGCCATACCATGCTGTCATTGCAATCGGAGATTACATCTCTGAATTTTTTTCTCTACCTCTATCTGTCCTCCTGTTTCTTTCTTTTCCACCCTCCTATGTTTTTTTACTGTATTGTGGCTTCTTGTAATTCCATTATCATCAGCCTGATGTGGGTTCAACTAAGCCAAACTCAGCCAAATCCCGCCCATCCACCCTCACCACCAATGGCGAGGCCGCCGGGGCCAAACGCCCCTCCCCAACCACAGCCTCAGCCAATAAAAAAAGCCCTGTACCCAAGGCAACCACACCTACCGCTGCGAAGCGGCCGCCAACTGGCTCCGCCAAGGCTGCAAAGGTGAGTATAATCCACATGGGTAGATTTTTTCTTTGAATGAAGATTGGCCTATTTCAGCTCTCTGTACTTATGTTCTTTTGGACATTGGATACATAAATAATATTCAAAGTCAGATTTAGCTCAGTCTAAATGCCCTTAAGTGAGCTCACTTGAATGGACTTCCCACACAAGTAGTTCCCAGCATGCATTATTCTGGTTTGAAGTCAAACAGAGGCAATACTAAAGGGTATGAGCTAAGGTTACCTGTTTTTATTTACATCTTGTTAACTAACATTTGGTCACCAACAATTATTTTGATATTATACTTTCAACTATGTAGTTGTTTTTTTAAATAAGTCACATTCAAGCTGGAGAGTTTACAGCAGCCTTGGAGAGGTACAGGAAGTCAAAGAAAAAATGACTTCCTTTTACATTATCCCAGATTGAATCAAATGTTATGAGACCAATCTGTTCAGCGTTTACTCATTAATAATTGTTGTCTCAATGATGTTCTTCTGTTTGACATGGTAGCCTATTAAACTGTTATCTTTGCTCATCATACCCTCCATATTTCTCAATGATTTAATTTGTTAATTAAGATGGACTAGAATTCTAGACAGCTATCATATAAGTTTACCGCAGTACATCTATTAGCTTGATCGCTGTTCCTCTAAATCAAAAACAATCGTGGCCTGTCATGTCACATGATACTTTAAGAATTAAAACATTTAATATTATTACTGTAGACCTAAACAGATTGTGGGCAGCTGTGAGGAATTTCAGTAATATAAGCTGAATGTATTAAGACTCTGATAAGTCACTATCAACGACACATCATATGTAAACAAAACAAAATCCTCATATTGCAAAATCAGACAACAAAATAAAGATTACCCTCAATTCAATAAAAAGTGTTAATGTTGATAGAACATGTCCACCAATCAGCTTATATAAAGAAAGAGCAAATAATGTCCTGTTTTGCATTAGGTGGAGACAACTGCAGCACCTGGCTGCAGTTGTCTAACTGGCTGCATTGTGCGGCTAATGCCCATGATTAACTCAAGTGTAATCACCATGGCTGTTTTAAAGCCTGGAGTTTGCTATTTTGACCACACCATCTTGGTTTTTGGCTGCCACCATCTTGATTTTTTGGCTATTGCCGTCTTGGCATTTTTGAATCAGCAGTGATCATGATGATGCTACTAAGTACCTGTATAAGCAAACACTGAACAACAGATTTTTAGGCAACTGAAATGTAACAATTACATTTCATGATTTGAATAAACACTGTGAAAGGGTTAAAGTTCTAAAACGAACAAATCACGAACAACACCCAAACCAGACAACACTGTTATAGCGACCTGTCAATCACAGCTGGCCCTGCCAAAATCATAGCCTGCTATTATACTTCAAATAGAACATCATGCTTTATTGAAACAGAACTAAAACTAGAGGTTTAGTCAATAAACAGATTTTCACAATGCTTACTGAGGTAGCAAATCAAGTTAGAGAAAGGGTCATTTTCTCATAGACTTTTATACAATCTGACTTCACTTGGCAAAGACAAGTTTTAGGTACTACTTCATAGGCTTCACTAGTGTAAAACCCGTACTTACAAACTCCCAAAAACGCTCACAGCTCATCTGTCTCGTGTTATGTGATTTGTATTGTAATTTCCAGACTCCAGAAAATGAAAAACGGACACCTGTGCCAAAGGCCACGCCCACACCCCGTGCGGCTGCCAGTAAGAACGGCTCCCCTGCTGGTAAGTGCACTCACAGCAGTAACATGATGTATTGTACATCTCCAGTGTTTGCCTGCCCTCTGTATCTGATTGTGTGATACAACAGAGTTATCACAGGCAGTTTTTCCGCTCTGCTTTGGCTAGTTCATAGTGTTGAAAGTGCAAACATGACCTCTACAACAGGACCTGATCTTTCTACACTAGCTAGAAAATGACTCACAATGTAAACTGGCTGCACTCCAGGCAACAGGCAAACTGAATTGCTACCATATGTTAAACTGTATCACATTCGAGAGCTGGCTTTTAAAGACACCCTGCTGGTATTTTTAACCATGCATCACAAACAGCATCTCACCTCTCTGAGAAAGCTATGACTCAGTGAGAGCTATGTGAGTCCAACAGGCTTTCTGCCTTTTGTGCGCTTCAGCTCAGCACACTCAGAGAATATCATTTATTCAGCCCATTCACAGTGATGGGTGTTACTGTATGTACTGCGAGGTGCATATTTCATTTTAGTTGCATGAGTGAGCTCCATTAATTTGGTTGCTGTTGCCCTGATGACAGCAGTTTAGTGTCATTTCTTTATGCCTCTTCCACGTTGGCAGCATTACAAATACAGCACAACTTTATCAACATGATGGACATACTGTCACACCTTTTAGAAACTGTGAAATGACTCAGTTTTGCTCACTTTGCAAGCAACACAATCTTCAAGTCAGCTTTACATCCTATAGAGTTGATCAATCAAGAACATTTGGCAACTTATTTATGAGCAGCCAACCACAGAAATGTGTTGGAAATGAAATCTTGACTATGGCAATCACACGCTTCTTCCCCTATTGATGGGATTTTGGCAATAGAAAAATACACGACAACTTCCAGCTTGTCATACCTCTCAAGTATTCTATAGCGTATTTTTGAAAAATCTAATAATAGTGTTTGGTGACTTGTTGCAAGCAGTAGCAATATTTATTTCCTTTTAAAATTGTTATGGCTAATGTGTTAAATATGTGTCTCTTTCGCTGTTTAGTCTGTTCCTTCACCAGTTAGTCTGTCGCTTTGTCTATCTACAGATAAGTGCTTGGCAGGCCAGGTACACTCAGCGTGTTTTTTTAAGCAGCTTAGAGCTTCAATCTTTATGTGAGCGCTGAGAATAAACCGTAAATGTGGGTTAAACCAAATTAAGGGCTAAAAAAAACATCATTCTTTGGTAAAATAAAAATAGTGATCATCGGAGGTTTAATGTGTTAGTTAAATTGGTAACACATTTTACAAAAGCTATGCCAGAGATGCTTGTGCTGTGGATTTTATTGAAAAAAACTGACGTATATTTGTCAGAAAAGATTGACCCATAGACTACTTTGTGTACAGTCTACACATATGGCACACAAGTTTCTTCCCACTGTATTTCAGACCTAATGGTCAACCCGGCTATTTGTCCAGACACCACCAGTGTAGCTACGTCACTTCTTTGCATCCTGATTTATAAGCAAACAAGCTACAGGGAGTTTTGAGTTATTGAGGCTAACAGTGTTATGTTTCCTGCTCACAGCGAACAAGACTGACAAGACTGACAAGACTGACAAGACCGAGAACAAGACCGGAGAGGCCAAGAAACCCAAGCCTACAGGTAACAAGCTAAGAGAAAAAACTAAAAGAAAAGTTAATTTAATGCAATACAGTTTTAATGGAATTTTAAATGTCACTAGAATAAAATAAAGGTTGTTGAAATAAATGTGTCAACATTACACTGTAAAGCTAATTGATTGGCTGCGATGTTAAGAAGGTTAGGAAGAGAAAAATGCAGTGTTACCCTACCTTGTGCAACACACTACAGTTTATACCAGATCTTCTGACAGAAGACAATTTGGGACATCTGATCATTGAACTGCAGACAGCAGTGACAGCCAGATTCTGAATTGCTCAAGCGATTAATTAGCCGTTGTGACCCCCCTCAATCTGCACATCAAATGAGAAACGGTCTGGCAGAAATTTGGCTTGATTCTTAAATGACCCAGATGCAACCAATTTGGGGTTTAATGGCGCCTAATCTCTAAACGTCCGCCCAGCTTCACTGAACAATGTGTCATTGTACTGTCCTATGATAGGAAATTACCATATCATTGGTGTTACACGTGTGATTTCACATATAAGATTATATATATATATATAAGATGTTTTGATCAATATCAGTGCCTCAGTTACAAAAACCACACGCTACTCTTTTTCGTCTTTCCTAGACTTAGTTCATTTCCTTATTTATGGGTGGTGAAAATCATGGTTAATCATATAAACTCTGTCAAGCAATATGTACACATTTCATTGATGTTAATACTGACTTCACATAGATGGTCTTTTGACTCTTCAGCCTTGATTTAAATAAACAATACTTTTATCTTTGTTTTTTCCAAAAGCCCGTCCTCGCCCCGCCTCCATCACTACTCCCGCTGCTTCCACCAACGGTGAAGCCAGTCATCGCCGTCGTGTCCTCACCAAACCCCCGGTGCCCAAGCAGAGCCCAATGGAGAAGAAGCCGCCGGTGCCCCGTGCTCCTCGAACCCCACGCCCCCTCAACGCTCCGACACCTGACCTGAAGAACATCCGCTCCAAGATCGGATCCATCGACAACATCAAGTACCAGCCCGGAGGAGGAAAGGTAGGACAGTACGAGAAATGTCAATGAATAATTCAGGACAGTGATATACCTGTCAAGATTCTTGAAATACTTTGCAAGTAGTCTCTTATATAATCAACACTTGGCAGTGATTGGTTTGTAAAATTATCTGCCGAAAAAAAATCACGTATAAATGAATGATCAAATGAAGGGGAAGAGCTGTGTCACAAACACATCTGAGCAGGATTACCTGCTGAAACTTGAATGAATGATTAGAATGATTTGTTTATATTGTTTTCCGTTCCTTATTCAAATCAAATCATAACAGAGAAAACAAGGTGAAGAGGTTATTGTATTGCTGTGTTGTGCAAAGCATGTCACCAGTTAAATCATTTTTCTTGTATCATGTGTTCTTCCATCTATTTTTGACACAGTAAATGCAAAGATAAAAATGTGCACTGGATGTAACTGTATTTACATTTTAAATCCTCCACATTTTCACCATCATTTTCCAGAAGCCTTATTTCTACCGTTTACACTAGAGAATCTTCTTGTTGGTGCTTTATTGAAATGTAGAACAGACTCTGCAGAATATATAACACTATTTTTTCTTCAGACAAATCTCTGAGAATAAAATTACATTAATTTATGGAGAAATTAATTGTTAGTGTTGATGCAGGGTTAATGTATTTGTTGGATGTACTGCATATCCACATACAGATGTTACAACGACTAAAACCAACAGAGATTACTGCATGCTCTACACAGTCTACTGAATTCAGTCAGATTTGCAACTCTCTCATTATCACCTCTGTGCTGGTTGATCTTCGTGAAACATGTTGCCACTTACATTTTTGTCATGTTTTTGTTAGTCCTTTCTTGCCATACATTTCCAGGTGTTTGTATGTCTCCATCGAGTTAATATGTGTTCTTTTGAATTATTTACATTTATCTTTACATCCAAAATTGATTTAATTTAATCTATTCTTCTTTAATGTGTGCATGAAAACGTTTCTTAAGAGACTGATGTCAAATATAGCTTTTTGTGCTTTTTGAGCTGTTTCATATTCATTTATATTCCGTATTCCACCTCCTGCTGGCATATTGCGGTACATATAGCAGTAGAAAGGCTTTGCAAACCATCTATGCAAAGATGCCACCCCCCACTCCCTATTTATCTAGGAAACAGCAGGCATGCTCCTTTTTTAGCAACACCCTGTTTTACATTCACAGTGATGCCTCAACCTGTATCATTTAGCCATGATCACATGGTCCAATTAAAGTTAGATCAGTGAGGAGAAGGAGATGCTGCCTCTCCAAATGGTTCTGTGAAATTGGCCTCACCTCGTATTTTCCCACACGCAACAGGAGCAGTCGACAGGGAAATGTTGTCTGTTTTGTCACCATTCAACTGTTATCTTCTGGCAAGATTCACTCTTTCATGCTGATGTTTTTCTCGAATCTGTCAGTCCGTCAGAGTGAAACCACTTGACACACACAGACACATCGCGTCCCTGCATCACAATAAGGGGCACTGTATCTCCACTGATAATGAAAATTGGTCTGTCTAATATGTATTCTAAAATGTCCCATTCAACAGTTTTATCAGCCCTTCCATCATCAGTAGTTATTGAATGACTTGTTTGTACCAATAATGTTACATTTAATGTTTGTATTGCGAATTGTGTAATTATTGTTTTCTGTGCTGACATTTGATCGACCCTTCTCACAAACTGACATTTTATTTCTATGAACCTGCAGTAACTCAATGTCATGTTTTGAAAAGTTTCAGCGATCCATCTGATACAGCACATCTGATTGGCTGACATATGTATACATATTTTTTTATTATCCTCTCTTTTGGGCAGCCCGTTATTAATTCTAACACTTAATTGGTGCTGCAACTGTCAAATGTTTAAACAGATTCACACGCATTTCCCAGGAGAATTGGATTGAAGAGTTTAACAGTGAGCTTCCCTAAGTGAATATCCCATTCATTTTTTGAAATAAAGAATAGTAAAAATAAACACAACACACAATAGTGGGATGTAACAGAAAGGTCTCTGATTCGCAGAGCTTGTTGTTACCATAGAAATGTGTACCACACCCATGAACAGCTAGTGAGCGCACCATGGTGTCAACATTGACTGCTCTCATGGTAGCTTGTTTGGAATGTTCTTGTATTATGAAAATGGGATGGTTAATTCCTTCAGTCTTAAACTAATTATGAATACAGCTTTGTATTTTTGCCTTTCTTTCTGTTTGTCTTTTTCTTTCCCTGAATCAAATAATTAGTTGATAGCGATTCATCTCATATTTGATTGGCTTGGTTTCAAACTCTTCATGTACCGATTTTCCGAAACGTCTACTGAATAAATTAATGGGAAATTCACACTTTGAACTGGAGCCAATTAAAAAAAGAGGCAGTCACTATTGAGCTGTATAGCTTTGGTACAGTCTGCCATTTTTTAATCCAAGCTGCAATTTTTAAAACAATCTCATGCTTCCCTCTTGATTGGTCGTAATGACCCATAGGCTACACTCATATGATTGGTCCAGCTGCTAACCCACCATGACCCCTCCACCTTTCCTGTTGTGTTGTTGCATTTGGTGTATTGGATGTTTTACTGACCTATGGGGTGGTTGTCTCCCCAGGGCTCTTCTTCCCCGAACATCAAGGCATCAGACCCCTCCAACCCCGCTCCCAAGGCTAAAGTGAGTCCCTACCATCGACACCTTCACACACCTCACACAGAAGTACATCGTCCCATCTTCTCTTTGCATTCACCACATACACCACCCATTCTACATCCACCCCCTACAACACCTCATGAACTTAGTTAATATCAGTCCACCCTCATAAAGAATATCATTATTAAACAACAGTATTATTAACAAGCAGAATGCATCACTGCTCATATTATGTGACCAACTAAACCTAAAACCCTTTTTTGAACAAGATTTCTCAAGATTCCCTAGAGTTAGTCACTTTACTTGCATCATAGACAGGTATTTAAAACAGAAAAACTGTTGAGGGGACATTTCAAACTCAAAAAGTGAAATGATTGATCTTTTTCCTTTTATGCATTTCTCAAATCATAGTTTAACATTTTAAAAGTCAAGAAAAGTCTTGTTAAAGTTGATGTGCCGATAGAAGCATACCAGAAAGACAGAAACACTCTTTTGCTGAGTGACATATTTTCATAGTAATGAATGGAGGCCATCTTAGAGTCTGGTATTTAGATCTTATAACATATTAATAGAAAGAAGCAATAAATCACAAACATGTCCTGTTTATAAATATTTTAAATCTGTTACATGTTGGGTAAGAGTGGCAGTAAATATTAAAAGTTGCTGAAATGGGTCAGTAATGTTAGCTAAAGAGCTAACTAGCTAAATGTAGCTACAGTTAGCTAAAGAGCTAACTAGCTAAATGTAGCTACGCTCAGTTAACATGAACCATGTGTTGGCATCTTTGATTCATTTTTTTAAAGTATGAAACTATTGCAAGGTGCTTCTTTACAACTCAGAATACTCTTATTATACTATTGCTAAAACAATTAATGTGAAAACAATGCTGCTAAGAATTTTAAGCAGCTGTGTCATGGGGCGTCGCTAAGTGTTTCTGGGAGCTTATAGCTTGCTGCTTACACTGCAACGATTAACAATGTGGTAACCAGAGAAAAAACACACTCACAGGACTATCGCTTTAATTAGGACACCAATGGACAAATATATTGCCGTCCAACAAATATTTTGCTACTATCATCTCAAAATGTTGTGTGTTTTCTTCTATCTTAGCCCTACAATTCCTCTTGTACTAGCAACGTGCCTCACAAAAACTGTCTTCCAATACCATCAATATTCTACACCCAAATATATATCAGGAGTTTATAAAGGACACCCTGGTGTGTAATATTTTTACAAGATACTACTACGACACACCAACACAGTCTCACGGCATTTCGTGTTATAGTCACGAAATTAATCTATTGATTCGTGTTCACCAACACGATTTCGCCATTTTTTTCGTGTCGCACAGAACGATTTTAAAAGCAATGTAAATAATAACAAATTAGAGGGAAAAACAGATTAAAAAAAATACAGATTTCAGTATTCTGACACAGAACGATTTTAGAAGTAATGTATTTCTATTGGTAACTACATGTTTCGTGCCTGCACCAAATAATGACTAATTAGAAGGAAAAAAAGATGACAAAAAATACAGATTTCAGTATTCTGAGGCTCTGAGCCCCATTTCTTTTCCTCGCGGACGGCAAAAAAACTCAGACATTATACAATTTAAAATAAAAGGGATAGGGTTAGGCTTAGGGTAAGATATTGAGTAAGAATATGTTTTTATGAACCACACAGCTTCTGGTATTCCAAGACCCGACCGGACAAAAAGACGTGGTGCAGGCACGAAACATACTATTAATAGAAATACATTGCTTTTAAAATCGTTCTGTGGTGAACACGAATCAATAGATTAAATTAATTTCGTGACTATAACACGAAATGCCGTGAGACTGGGTTGGACACACACATACGAACAAACGCTGAAAATAATTGTAACTTCCATGTCTTTAGTCTTGTAGCACTTGAAATATGGTCGCCTTTTCCTGCTTACGCTTCACTTTTATTAAAACGAGGATACATTTTCAGCATCATGCAGTGTCCCTTCTTTTGCAATAGCAACATTTCTGCCCTTAATTGAGGAGACACGATTAAGCACAACCTAGCAGCTACTCCAGGTGTATGGAAATAGAAGGAGGAAAACTTCTGCTCTGTGTTCGTACGTGCATGTGTGTGCGTGCTAACTGCTCGCTCAGTGAGTCATCCTTTGCTGGTGCCACCTGCGTCATCATGCCGCTCTCATCCTGGCGAATAAGACTTAAGGCAGAGACAGAGAGAATGGAGCAAGGCGTCTGAAGTCTGCTGCAGCGCAATGAAACTGAAATGACAAAACAATGGGAAGGAGTTATTTTGTGTAGGAGAGTGTGTGTGTCTCGGTTCCCTTGGATACCTCACTAGAAAAACAAACAACTGCAGGAGCTTTGGATTGAAGCGATACACTGAATTTCTAAGAAAATGTGCAGGAATACAGCAATTAGGGGATTAGAGGAACATTTTGAAAGCATCCACATCACTGGTTTCAATCCTGTATGCTGACTTTTCTTTGTGCATTATTTTGAAAAGCAACTAGCATCATCTCCAAAGGGCGATTAATGAATATTCATAAATGGAGCTATTTCTTTTTCGATGTTCCTGAAAATGGTTAAAATGTCTCTATTGGGGATGGAAGCCTAAACATTCTTACTTTTCAAAATCTTGTGGATTATCTTTCAGTATTTAGTTTTAACCAATAGGTTTTATGTGTAGTGTTTCACTAACCATCTTCCACTTTCCTGTATAAGTCGCTTGCATTTGCTTCTCTGCTTAGACCAAGCATGCGTTAACACAATACCACTGACTGTCCTGTGTAATACTCTGTTGCATGTGCTCTGTCCACCCTTCCAGTGTTGTTCTGTGCTTGATCAGTTTTGGTTAATGCCGTTTATGGAAGCGCTCTATTGTTATTCAGTCAGTATCCATATCGTTTGATACAAATCTAGCATAGATTTTTATAATAATTAAAACATTTCAGTTTAGAATATGTCCAGTTAGCTGCACCATTTTTTAACCTCAATGAATTAGTGGCATAATGTCCCAAAACACATTTTTAATACTGATAATCCCTGCACTCATATGCAGGAGGAATTATTGGATTTGAATGACAGAACCTCTTCCATACGTACAGAGCAAGGCTACTCTGTTTCCTGTTAACTTAAGCTGCCAGCTGATCTGCTCTTCTCTGCTGCTCTTGTCTGTCTGCCTCTGTCATGCTCTTCTTACTTTCTTTCTTTCCTTCTTTCTTTCTTTCTTTCTTTCTTTCTTTCCTTCTTTTCCCTTCTATCTCCTCACTTTCCTGCTTGTCTGTGTGTCTGCCTGCTTGTCTTTAGGTTCAGATAGTGCACAAAAAGCTGGACTTCAGCCATATCACGTCTCGCTGTGGCTCCAAGGACAATATCAAACATGTCCCTGGAGGTGGCAAAGTAAGTACTGCTGGAGCTGACGGGAGACTCTGCATAGGGTGGATGCATATCACATTTTTTGCTATTTTAGCTTCCTGGTCAAATGTATGATCAATCACTTTTTTATCCTGGCAACAAAAAGATCTGATCAGGATTTTTTTGTTATTTTATATGTAAATTAGAATCACCCTGGCTGAATGCATATTATATATTTTAAACCTAATTGCCTGTGTTTGCATCTTGGATTGATTTCACTCAAAGTGAATTGGCCATGAGTCCTTCTGCCCACCCTTCCAGATGTTGCTCCCATCTGCTCCAAACACCTGCTGCACTATCATAATCCATCTCTGGGCTGCCCTCACTATCACCACTTTGCTGTCTCTGATCAATAAACACAATGCAAAAGGTATACCGTAAAAGGATCATGTCCAAGAAGTGACAAATCAGATAAAGCTATAGGGCTTGTTCTCAATATCAGCAACTGTTCTGCTTTAATACTCAAGAAACATCTCATATAACAAATCCATAAAACATATCAAAGTCAACTTTAGTAGTAATAGTATATTCAAGAAACCTGCTACAATGGATGAAACTACACACATTACATTATATTTGCTCAATACTGTGTGTGGGAAAAACATATTTTGTAAGGCATGTTTCATGTAAAATAGGCAAATACAAACTGATTGGTGAAAATACCACAATACAAAAGTCTTATAGAAATCGCGTTTCTTTTTTTTGCAGAAGGTTGATACTGTATGCACCAATATTCAAATTTTTCTGTAATTATTGAAATCTCAGGTGTGTTTCCTCAGTCTAAAATTACATCATGGATATTTAAATTATTATTTGTGTTTGTATTATTAAACCAGGTCATTAATATTTTAACCTGTCATGTAAGCCTCTCATAACGGGGCGCTCTAATGTCAATCAGAACCCATCATGGTTGGTTTGCTAATAAAATGTTAACATCATTGAGGGTCACAGCCGGCTGACTGTTTTTCCTCCTCTCTGTCATCAAATATGTAAAAATGATTGTTCCTGTTGCACACTGTTCGGCAGGTCACTGGCTCTTTCATCAGTGCCAGCTGCCGTCAGATTACTGCTTGTAATACTGAACACACACTCTCATGATGTGACGCAGTCTAATAACTGCCTGATCGTGTCCTCCTATAAAAGCCTGTGCTAATTTATATGCATAAATGGATCATCAGTTACCAGCCAAACAAAACAGAAGGCACCTCATAACAATGAAAAAGGTCAAAGAAGGGGATAAAGCATGGGTAGGTAGTGCTTTCTTGTATCCAGTCTCCTTTAATACAACATGTGTTGTGCAGAACCTGATCCTCTCTATAAACGCAACAGGTGCATGATAATGGATGACAGTGATTTTGGATACTGAATAGAGTGGATTTCTGATTACGGCTGCATTGTGCTGGATGTGGCGTCCCTGTGAGTTATTGTAAAAAGGCTGCATTGTGATCTCTCCTCATCAACAGGTGCAGATCCTGTATAAGAAGGTTGATTTGAGCAAGGTGACTTCCAAATGTGGCTCAAAGGACAACATGAAATATAAGCCAGGTCAGACTTACTGTACAGTTTTGTATTTATTTGTATTCATTATTGATCTATATTCTATGTTTTGCTGGTCTCATACCTACCTTTTGTTTTACCTCAGGTGGAGGGGATGTGAAGATTGAGTCCCATAAGCAAAACATTAAAGCTAAGTCTAAGATTGGATCCATGGACAACATGGGGCCAGGCAATGATCAGACCAACGGGCACAAGGTCAAACTTTAAAACCGACTCTTATTTTCTCAGTTAAAAAACGTTGAACTTCTCTTGTTCTGCTGACTCATTGTGCTTTTACTGGCTGACACCACACGATGGTGTGGTACCATGAGATAGAACACTATGACAAAAAACAGGTGTTCATTGTGTGAATTTGTGTGTGTGTGTCCCTGCCCTTGTGTGTTTATTTCTGGCTACAGGAGGAGAAGACATTCCCCCCCCCAAATGGCGCTGCGACAACAGGACCAGCAGGTGTTGCTAAGGAGAATGGGGTGAAGGAGCCCACACCGACTCCTTTTGGTGGAGACGGCCTGAGGGAGCAGAGCATAGACAAACGCATCACTGAGACAAGTGGGTGTAAACACACACAAAATAAAAGCATGAAGTGCTCGTCAATAATTGAAGCCTTAGGACTCATTCCAAACTGCGCCTCACTTACTCGCTGTTCTATACTTCAATGGGTTAGACCAGCGGTTTTCAAAGTATGAGGCGCGCCTCCCTGGGGGGGCGCCAGAGAGCTTCAGGGGAGGCACAGCGTGAGAAAAAAATAACGAGAAAAAGACAAGTAAAGTGTCACTTGCACACTTTTGGCTGTCTGTGGAGGCCGAGTTCCCCCACCTTGCCAAAAAGGCTGTAAAAGTGCTCATTCCCTTCACCTCCACCCACGGACGGACTGGCCATCTGTGTGTTCTGGAGAATCACAGAACGGCCGGCTGTCAGCGGGCCGTTGACGGCCGGCTCGGTTCGCTGACGGCCGGCACCGCCCTTTATTTTTTAAACGGCATCATTTAAATTGCGCTGACAGGCGACAGAGGTCCGTTCAGCAGGCCGTTTCCACGCAGCGAGGCTCCCCCCCCCCCGTTGACAGTTCACTAGCGTGCTCCACCAATTTGTGTGGGCTGGGCTGGGTGAGATTCCAGAGCTGATTTTTAGTCCCAGTCCGCCCTGCTCCACCTACCTGTGTGAGTGCGGGTTTCCGCATTGACTGATCAAAAGCAAGTACCGGTCAAGGCTGCAGCCAGAGGATGATCTGCGGTTATTCCTGTCTACATTGCAACCCCGCATCATCCGCCTGTGCGCATCAAAGACGCAGACTCATTGTTCCCACTAAAGTAGGGGGTGAGTGTAATGAGGAGGCAGAGTTGACGTTCAGTGAGTTGCCGGGAGCATATAAGGATTTATCCACGATGTTGAAAATGTTAAAAAAATAAAAAACATAAAGATAAAAAGGTTTAAAAAAGTTATTGTTTAATGTTTTAAGGAGGTGACGCTACTCAGCCAATCAAATCGGTGCAGTCAGTGAGTCAGCACGATAGATTCAAACACAGACACAGAGACGAGACAAGAAGAGAGAAACAGCAGTGAGTAATTTCAAATGGCGTGCTCAAAAAAGAGAAAGGTAGACAGCGAAAACAGCATTTTCTCTTACTGGACCTCTTTGAAATGCAATTGAATACCCCTGCATTATAGCAACAACAACAATAATAATAATAATAATAATAATAATAATAATAATAATAATAATAATAATAGCAATAATAATTGGGAGGGGGGGCGCGGCTGTTCTTGTGTTCTCTGAGGGGAGACTCACCTTCCCACACTTGTCCCCTGGTCTAGATGTACTGTTAGCCATTCAAAATTCTCAGTAGTTCTAAACAATAGGTCTTTGGTTTTTGAAAGAAATAAACAAGAGCAGGCTTCTTATTTGTTGCAGACAATGGTAGATTCTTTTTGGCTGAAATAACAAGTGCCTGTGGCCAATCCAGTGTTTGTCGCTAGTGTAAGCTTATGCTGTTTCCGAAATATGTTTTTTTAGATGACTGGCCAAAAGTCCGCCTCCTCAACCGCTAATGCTCCATTTGGAATAGAGATGGAGATAAAGAAGCAGCATTTAGTATTAAAGCACAGCATTATAAATAACAAAAAACGAAAATTCTAACATAATCTTTTGATAGTTTGATATCGAGGTTAGATGTATACTTTAATAATTTAAACAATTAAAAGAAGAGAAAGAGACATTGATTTATTTTATTTAATGTAAAACAATCAAATTTGGGCTTTGCTTGACTGTAAACTAACTATAGAAAATGAAAAAGATGCAAAACTTGTGATTTTCTGTAATGATACAGTATGGTTTGCTAATTTGGCTATAACACATACTGTATGTATCTGGACATGCATTGCAGAAAACACACAGTTTAATCAATTTGAATATGCTTTAGTTATTTTCTTTTGGTCAATTGATAACCTAATATCAGGTTTGTTCTTGTTGAAATCCATAATGTATTTTTTTTACTTTTCTTTAATTACTAGATGTCTAGTTACGGTTGCTTTGTTATGTTAAGAAAACCCCTTATCAGGGGTTTAGCAAACGGTCAGTTACACAACAATTGACAGTAAAAAGCTATGCGTGCATGTATGTTGGAGTATACCTGTGCTACGTGTGCGATGGAGCGGTGTGGTAGAAACAGCAGACACTTTGCTGCTGAATGAAATTATGAAGAGACCTACAGACTAAGAATTAGCCAGTCTGAGTGGATACATTCATCCCTGGCACAGCAGCTAGCCTCCAGACTCCCTGAGTTCAGAGGCACAACAGACTTCTGCCACCTGATGTGGTTGCCAAACTCTGTCTACTTGATGGATGGCTGTAGTGCTAATACAATATAAAAAGGGAATGGTTTATAATTTGGCACATAATTCATATAAACCTGCCCCACAGTGACAGCCTGTAAGCTGGAAAAGAAACAGACCATCTGGCTGGAAGTGTTTCCTCTGTCTCAGTATCACTTTTGTCACCCTCTTTTTCTCTCTTTGGTTACTGCCTAGTTTCTTATTCTAGTTTCTTCTAATCAACAGATTGAGTCCCAGTGAGCTTTAGATTTTGGTGGGACACGCATGGCGCTCGCCAACCTGCCAATCAACCGACCGACCAACCTACCACGGCGCAGTCACTTCCCTTTGGCCCCGCCCTTCATCTCGCCCACCGCTGCACCAAACTGACGGATCGCCTCAGTGTTTCTCCGGGTGTCCGCCTGCCAGCTTCTTGCTACCAACCCTGACCTTTGACCTCTCAACGGTTGACCTTTGACCCTGCCTACCACAGAGAAGAGCACTTGCTTTTTGTCTGTGTTTCTGTGTGTTGGGTTCCACCAGCTTCTTGCCTGATAAGATCCTCTTGTAGGCACTGATTTAGAGGACTTCAACCGCAAACCCTAAATTGAATTACACCAACGCAACAAACCCACTATTGTAGTCAATGCTGTATGAAAGCATACAGAGCATAGGCAGTTTTAGAATATGTCCACCTATTAGTTTGATACAGTTTAAACACAAATACTTATAGCGCAAACACCCTGCCTCAGAACTTAGTTTCTAAGTCCCTCCTATAAGCCTTCACAAAACAAATCCTCATTAATCTTTAGAACATGTAAGCAAATCTATGCTAACGCTACTATTTGCCCCACTTTCATTCCCAGTCCATGTACACTTGGCTCCAAAGCATACTTACCAGCTGAGGGCCTGCTACCAGTCAGCAGCAGGGCAAACACTGGCAAGTCTGCTTCAAATCCAAACATCCCAACCTTCCAGACGGACAGAAATTATTTCCAAATCTACAGTATTAACAAAACTGCACTCTGTCCCATTATAGCTAACTCCTCAAACATGATCTCCCATTACATGTATTGGTATCATTGCACATGTTTATTTTTACCTAATTTATTACAATTCTATTTCTCTGGACTATTAATATCATGATGCTAACCATTAGCAGTGGCTCAGTGGACAGGGGCTTATGTAGACAACAGATTATACAATTTGAGATGTTTCAACATCAGTTCAGAAACAAAGTGCAGAGGCCTTCGGGGTGTTCCTGTGTCATAATTCAAGAAAGGATGTATTCATTGACAGTACACAACAGAAATGAAGAGGCTATAACAAAGCAGACGAGACTTACTTCAGTTAGAAACATCATTTACTGATGTGATCAGTGCATGATAATCATCGAGAGAGATAGGCGTCAAGTGATGGGGGAGCTCGGTGTCTTCTCTGGGTAGCCATGGCTAAAAAAAGGATTTGGCACTGAACACAGGTATTTGATCTCTATGCCAAATAAGTTGCGATCACAGTATTTAACCTCAAAGTGATTATAAATTCAAACTGAATGAGCGACCTTGAGCAGGATTATTTAACCCTTCAAGAAAAGTGTTAAACCTTGGAGTTACTCTGCAATATTTAGTCAACAAACATAAAAGGGGTCAATGCACAGTATACAGCATGTAGCACTTCTCTTAACGCGGTAACAATGTCAACCACCATGTCACAGGCTGCTGGGTAAAGACCCGGTCACGCGGAGATATCACACTCAAATCTGTGTTATACAATGCAATCCACATCACCAGAGATTTGCCTACACGGTACAAGAGAAAATGTGAAAAATGTTCACATCAAGTCAAGTTTGTGATTTGCTGGAGGGTAGAGCTGCTAAAACCACATGATTTGGGAAAACATGCGGTTTCCACCATGCCACTTTCTGGTGTGGCTGGGTCTTAATTCTATCTAACGTAATATTTATTTATTCTAATCCCTGTTAGCTTCCACAAAGTGGTCGCTACTCTATGTAAAACCATATGTATTAACAAAACAGGGTACTTACTGACCTCTGGAGGATATTACCCACCTCTGGGGATATATTGACAGCACCACTTAATGTTACTAAACTGTTCACGTCCTGGTCCCGTGCTTGTAGGACAAGTCTACAAACTACGGGTGATGTTTAAGGACTACAGCCCGGTTTGGTTTTGTTTGATGATTTAAAAAATGGCACAAAAAAAATCTGAAGCAACCTTAACCTTATCTTAAAATGTAGCTCACATCCGACCCTTCGCATGGCATCAAGTCTGGGGGCAATAAAGTCTTATTCTTCTCCGTAAGTGTGTTCCTGTCAAAGCACATGCAACCCTGTTCTCCTGCACTATAACTCTTAGGTTTCCACTGTAATCGCAAAGCTCCCTTGTATCCTCAGTCCCCGTCATACAGCTATAGACCGCAGCAGTCACGCTGATCTGTGTTTAGCTTTACAACTTCACATATGGCTATTACAGACAGACAGACAGACACCTTCATTCTCTCGCGCATGTGGTACTTCCTGGTCACGTTGTTCAACCCGGTTTCCGTTTTCCAACTGGCCGATGCGTCTTAGAATCCTCTCTGTGAGACCCGCTTACTTTCCTCCCACAAAAACAAACCTACACATAAGCACAGATATCTATAAACAGGAAGCACACACACACCCAAATAAATCATCACACATACACAAACAATATAAAACACACAGATGAACACCCTGAAATAAAAACGGTATTCTGTTCATCGAAGCATTTTTCTGTTTATGATACCAACTCTGTTATATTATAGTATTTTGGTTGTCTATGCTGATATTGTTAAAACAATGATGAGCTGTTTCGGTTTGTTGTTCCTAGCGTAGTCATTGTCTGACATTTTCATCATAGGCTCACCTCACCCTGTCCCCTTTTTGTGTATTTCCTGTCTTTCACTCCAGCTCTCGGACAGCAGTACAGTGATATTAGTTGGGAACGTCCCCTGTTACGTGCACATGGACAGAGATCGACCACAGAAGTTGACAGGCAGTTAAAGGAGTTATCGTTGAGGAAGATGTGTTAACTAAAGGGAATAATGTTACATCCATGGCAAGTCTAAAGTTGTGAGTGTTTTTTGCAACTCTTGATTGCTTATTTAGTAGATTGAGCCTACTAAGAGATGCTCACGATCATGTTTTTAGTTACCACTTTAGCATGTGTTTTACTCAACATCTGTAGTGTAAATAGATGGAAGTAAATAGCTTATTAAATGCATTTGTTTCTGTTTTATTAAGCTTTGAGTTGTTCTTTGTTATGTATAGGATACCACTGGATATACAAATCTTTAAAGGTTAAAAAATGTGATAATATTATTAGAAATGTTCTTACTTTGCTCTTAAATGCCATGAATGCACCAGTATTTCAGAACCAAGAACATCCTGCAAATACTATAGCTGGGGCCATCCAGTGGGGACACATTGAAATAGATCCACATATTTAGCAGTGTTTTCATAAAACAATGTGGTAATGCACTAAAGATAATCCTAATTATGTATTATGTTGGGAAATCACCTCAATTCAGTGCAATGCATTTTTGATTCTATGAAAACAGCACTGTGATGTGACTTTGATTTACAGACCAAAAGCGTTGTTGTGTGTCACAGAAAAAAGTATAGTAGAAGCAGCTAAATGTTGAAAGCCCTATCTACTCCCTGTATTTCTATGCAGTGTGCATTAAAGCCTGCGATGGTCTCCGCTAAAACTAGGAAGGATTAGTGACGTGTTTGTGGGGTGTTGCCGTAGTTGTCAGATGTGTGAAGTGTTACTACTGCATCCATCCTGTAGAGAGCGCTGCTTGGCCTCTAGAACACTGATAGTCTGGCGCTGAGACTTAACAAAGGCCGACTGAGAAACCTTACATCACCGCTAGTGAAGCTCCAGTCAAGCTACATACTGTTCCCATTAAATATTTTGATGGTCACACTATATGTTATTGTATCTGGAACAATGAAAACCATCGGAATTATATTACCTATGTACAGCTCCTCTTAAAACTCAAAAGTCTCTTGTACACTTTGAACACAGTCTTGTTCATTTCATGATGCACTGAAGTGAAGTTGCTTTACTGTATATTGGTAAAACATTGTCAGCTGTGTACTGTACATGTGTGCTTTTGGCAGCAAAACAGTCTCGCTAGTTAGATGAAGTTACGATAATCAGAGAACAAGTGATCAAATAGTCGTCAATAACACTAAAAAGCACCGTTGATGCATATTTAATATTGTACTGCTCCCTACAAAAATCATTCCCATGAGTTGCCTAAAAGTAAAACATGACATATGTGTGGATCATATGTGAACACGATAATGTGAATCTTTCTTCGGGAATAGAGAGAACAAAGGAATGAAAGCACTTTGATAGTTGTAGATATTGGTTTGTGCATATAACAGAGGAACAAGTTTTAGTCTTAATGTGTGTTGGATGCTCAGTGTAAGAGCATGTTATTGGGATGATCTGATGTGGTGTATCTTGAATGACACATCGGGACCCCTTTCTCTTGGTCAGCTTAGTGGATTTTAGTGGAACTTTGGTCATCGGTGTTGTTCTATTGGCTATGATAGTTTTACACTCTACTCTCCAGTCTGCCCTTATGTTGTTTCTGTCAACATTCACTGGTTATTACTTTTTGACCAAGCTACAAAAGCACATCTCCCAAGTGGGAAGGTTTCAGTTTAAAGACCATACTGAGCTTCGAGGAGCCTAATTTGATATATTTTTGAGAGGACTGGCATCAGAGCTACCTCTGGCAAAACATGTTATGATAAGGGAGTTTAGAGTAATTGTACTGAAGTTGTATCCTAAACAATGAAAATGAGAACTTGCAGCAGTGAGTTTCAAAGTACTATCCCATGACCTGTGAAATACAAGGTTTGTTCAATGGCAAACATTCTGAAAGAAAATGCATTGCTTGTTTTGTTTGCAAACGAGTGACATTAGCCAGTAAGCTACTAATGCTAGCAGATAATGATAAAGATTGTAATTCTGTTTTGTAATTTATGAATCTATGGGCGAAAAAGTCAAATACAAATCCAATTAAGTTAAGGGACACATTTTGTAATTTTATCTAACTTTGTGGGAGTAAAGAAATGTCATAATGTAGTTACATTAAAAAGAATTAGGTTACAATTCTTTTTTTTGACATTTCTATACATGAAATCCTCAAAAAGGGGAATTCTGATGTTATACTTTTTCCATGGAAGGGCATTTGTGCCTTTATAGATACACAAAAGAGAGCTGGCAGAAAATGAAATTAGTGATGACATGTAACCAAGGTCCCTGGGCATCATCTTAAAGTGCTAACCAGGACGACACATAGAGAACAGTAAATCTTCAGTTGTTGTGTAAGAAGTTTTATTGTGACTTTACATGAGAATCAGGTCGGTTTTGAACAGTATTAGCTTAAAGCAAGTCTGTCGTTTGGTATCAGTGTATTTGTTGGCTGATAAGTAGCGACGGATAGCTGTATGTGAATGACAGAGATGTGTTGAAGGTCACTTAGAAGTAGTGATGGCATTGCATAGTTTTTTTGCCAGAAATTGAATGTTTTAAACTAAAAGGTACTGCTCGGTGCAAATCTGGCTCACAAAATTGAAAATAAGTATGGCTCCAGTCTACCTTCATTTGTTAAGCTTGTCAATTCAAATGAAGGTTTAATAGAATCATAGAAGATATATGATTAGTTTTTCTGAATCAGTAAAGTAACCAGTATGGTTATTTTTGGACTACAGTTAAACAAATTTAAGTTTGGACAAAATGTAATAACCAGGTTCACTCTGATGTCCGTTCACAACTGTTTGACTCCCCAGTATAGCGCCTGAACACCACCCTTCCACTAGTATCTCACACTGTCCCTTGTATATAGTTACCACCATGTTTTTATCACTCCAGAAGTAACTCAAAAAAATTTAAAAAGAAAAAAGAAAAGAAAAATAATCGTACTGCTTCTTAACAGGGTGTTGTGGATGTTGACAGATGAGCTCTCGCGTTCATAAACCTGTTACTCTTAAGGTTAATAATGTTATTATTATAAGATCGAAAGCATAAGAAAGGAAAAGGGTACTTTTTCTTTTTTCAGTGTCTGCCTTTTTTTCCGCCAAGAAAAGGGCTGCTGAAGTTTCAAGAATGTTTTTAAAATGTATTAAAGATGCAAGATGATGAATACATGTATAAGGTTTGTCTCTGTTCTGTTTTGGAAGATAGATCACATTGGAAACACTATTTACCAGATTCAAATTGTCGGGAAGGAAGGGAGGCAGTGTGTGTCGTGTTTGGGTAGGATCTGAGATATGACTTAATAGGTATACAGACAGAAAAACCTCAAATTACAGATAACAAAATCACAGAATTGGTGGAAATGTATTAAAACAGAAATAGAAATTGCCATTTTAATATTGGATTGAAATGCACTACTGTAATACTTGACACACACTGGTCAGCCCTTCCGCTCGCCTACCACCACCCCCCTCCCGTTAGACTAACCAGACTTAGTCTTTTGGCATGTGGTAGAATGTAATGTTCTGTATTAGACAGCTCCTATATAGACACCTCGACATACCTACCAACACGGGACTGAGTTAAGGGATGTCTTGGACCAAATTTAGGAAACATTTTGGACAAATTTGCACAATGAGTAAGGGAGATGTCTAATTGCCTGAGATGTAACTGGGAAAAAGTGATCAAGAACAAAAGGGAGTGTTGGTAGATATGAACCTGGGGGCCATAGCTGTGTCTTCCACCTGCAGAGGGTTAGCGTCACAGCACTGAAAGGTATTTGTTCTACTTGGGTCCTTTACCACATATACGGCATGGTAATAGTTTGTTTTATCAAGGAGAGCTCACCACTAGAATTGTACTAGCAATACATATTTAATAATTTAATTTACTAGACATACTTTAAATATAAATTGTTTTGTGTCTTACATACTGTAGTTCTAAGCTCAATTGTTGAACATACCATTACAAATTGAAAGGAAAACAATTACTTTTCAGTGCTGAGGCGTGGATCCACTGTAGCGTGTGCTGTTTTATTCTGTAGGCCACACCACCATAGCAAGAGCATGCAGAAGACAACAAACATACTGCTGGTTGTTAGAGGCATCTGTCCGATTAGATAGAGCTCATCTCCCCTTTCAATTCTGAATATTTGGTATGAAAGAGATGTTCATTGTGATTCATTGTTAACCAGTGATGTGAATATTAATCATGAAATAAAAAGATGAGCAAAGATCACTAAAGTGTCAAGAGTTTTTTTATTTCTTCTACAATTATTTACATAAGGTAGTGTTTTTACACTGTCGTTAGACCACTGCACAACGTCTCAAACGTATAGAAGTCAACCAAATATGGGGGTGCAAATCAGAGAAATGGCATCCAGGTTGCCTATCCCAAAAAGCACTTTCCAAATTGGGAAGAGCCCAGGGCTGCTATTTGTTGCTCTCACCGTGTGATCATCAAACTAATACACTGGACATGACAAAGAGAGAGGCAGGAGGTGGGGGAGCACTGACATACTGCATTACATCAAGTCATTCTCTTGTGTTCAATTAAGTGAGATGAAGTTGTGTTGAAATAATTAACATCAGAGTAAGTTACAATACAAGCTTACGATCTCATATAAATACAAATAAAATCAGGGTAATGCCAGACTTTTAATTATTTTTAAGTTACTGTGTTTTCCATGTTGGTTAACATAAATTCAATTCTGACAAACGTTTATGGGCACGATTGGTGTAAGGGTCTAGAACAGGGGTCGGCAACCTTTCTGATATGAAGTGCCATTCGCTGCGAGGAAGCTGTGGACCTCTGTCGCCTGTCAGCGCAACTTACATGATGCAGTTTAAACACAGTTAAATAAATAAAGGGCGGTGCCGGCCTTCAGCGAACCGCTTGCGACTGGCTCGGTTCGCTGACGGCCGGACGTACTGTGATTCTCCAGAACACACAGTTGGCCAGTCCGCCCCTGTGTAGCATATTATTTTCGATGACAGATGAGCAGATCGCCACTGGGCTTTCAACTAAAGACACAGCCTCGCAAAAACTGCGGCATGTACAGCTCCTTATGGGTACTGCAATGTGTGAAGTGCGCTACACCCCAGGGGCCTCATTTATAAAGGGATATACGCTCAAAAAATGGCGTACGCCAGTTTCTACGCAATGTTTGCGATTTATAAAATACTAACTTGACGGGAAAATGTGCGGTCCTCCACGCAAACTGTAACCCATGCGTACGCACTAAGCACAACAACGGGAGAGACGAGAAACTGCGACACCGTTGGCAGAAGGAATAATGGAGAGAAATATGTGGAAATAAATAAAATGTTACCTCTCATTTATCATATGAAGAATTCATTTTCAAACATTGATTAAAGCCAATCTTAAAATGATTAAACAAACGCCTGTTTGAGACTCCTCAGTGCACACAAAAACATAACTTGGGGAAATAAATAAATACGGATATGTTATTTAAAACCACCTCGAATATGTTGCGTTAATGTTATGAAATGTTTTCTCATAAATGATGCGGTAAGCAGGAGGACAGAATAACGTCTAAACTGACGCCGTTTTGCATTTCTATAGGTTGTAGATACGAGCATGGTTTTATATACTATCACGTTTAATCGTGTTTTATGCCGTTTGCCAAGACTTGATAAGTCGCTCGTAAAACACAGGAGGTATGGAAACTAAGAACACCATATGCGGTAAATTGTACAGCTAATATAACACAACACATTAGTTGTATTTCCTTTAACTGGTGGATTATGGATATATAGTTGCTGATCGACAGCTGGAACACAAACCACCAAATACAACAAAATAATTCAGATCCAGTCGTCATGACTCCACTCCGGAGGGATTCCCCGATCATTTCTTACAGTTTCTCATCAAGGGGGTGTCTCCTGTCCCCGGGACAAACACACTGCCTGAGGAAGGTTATGTGTATTTTTTTTGTCATTAACTTTTTTCGGACCACTTATTTATTTATTTTGGTGACGATCCGACCTCCATGCTGCTACTCTGGTTCAAACTGCATCCACCAAACAATATGATTTATCTCGACCTCTCCAAAATAACCAAAATCTGACACGGTGTGAGATGTCTTTTTTAGCTGTTCGGTCGTCATTTCCTGCGATCTTCTTCATGCAGTCAGTCAAAAATGAATGAATGAATGGGCGTTTCTTTGACTATTTATAGGCAAATATGGGCGTTACGTGAAGCCTGCAAAAGCTGCGCCGCATTTTGAGTCGATTGTGATTTATAAAGGGAAACAGGCGTAGGAAGTGCCGGTACGCACTTCCCTCACCGGTACGCAATGTTTTGTGAATCGGAAAATGTCGGAAAATTTCTGTACCTATTTTTTTGCTTTGTACTACGTAAGCAACCTTCTCACGTCAATCCTACGCAAGGCGTTATAAATGAGGCCCCTGGTCGTTTCACCATGGAGGAAAGCAGCAGAAAGTCGACTGGAGTTAAAGAGAGCGGGGCCTAGAAGTTATCCTTCTGCGCTGCGTTGCGTGCATGGCTTCCTTCTGCAGGTAACGGGGAGACGCGCTCTGCCGGCGGTCTCGTTCAGGATCCGAAAATACAATCAAAATATTTTTGCACACTTATTCCTAGTGTGCCACTGGTTACGGTCCCAATGGTGGCACGCGTGCCAAGGGTTGCCGACCCCTGGTGTAGAAAATCCCTTTCTATCAATAACACTTGGTGATAATCATTAATTTATCTTGATTCAATTGATTATTCATCTCAATCAATACTTTATATTACTATTAGCTAACAGCCTTAATGATTGTCATTTGCTTAAAAAATAGATCCATTGTGCTTTACAATGTTTGTCAATGTCATTCATGGCAGACATTTTTTTATCATAGACTGTTCTTCGAAACAAAAAAAGAAGGGTCACAGCCGAGTATGATTCATGTGACATCAAACATCTAGGGATATAAAGTTCAACAATAGTCTGTCAAGTGATAGGGTGTGAAATACATTTCTGGTGGGGGTAACAAAGAGCTACAGCTGTTGTCTGCTGGTAGGAAAGACGAGGCCAGGGTCACAGCTGTGATATCCTTTTCTTTTATCACTGTTCACACGCCTGTTAACTGTTTGGATGCCAATACAGGAGCCACAGTCTCCTCATTGCATGCATACATCTAAGCAACTATCTTAGATTAGAGTACCATTACTCTACCATTATTACTAATCTTTTGTATGAAGTATTCAACATTTTGGTTTAGGTCTTTGCATTACATGAAATAAGCAAACAGTGGCCAAAGATAAAAATATTTGTAGAGTATAGCCTGACATGCCATTTGTATTACAGTTCACCCGGTTTATTTACTCTATAAAGATAAAGTTGTACCATCACTGGCATAGGAATGATTGCCTGTTTCTGGCAATTATTAGAACAAATTAAGGAAACGTTCCAACTTTTTTTTCCGTAACTATGAGAACGATTGGTTGCTACATTGCAGCAGGGATTTGTATTAGCTGCCATGTTTTCAATTACGTATTTAAAGATTTATATACTTTAGAAAAATGTAAAAAAAATAACAAGACAAGAATACTTGATCTTCTGTTTGCTAGAAATTGTGTTTTTAAAATCAGATTTATACTTCATACATTATTTAGACCTGTACTCAACGCTTCTATCCAAGGCTACCTGTTGCACTTGCCCTTTCCTTGCCTCTGATGATATGGCATTGTTTTCTTAACCTTTCTTTATCCATGAGCACAAAGATAACTTGTGAAATTCCTCCTGGCTGCCTTCTGGGGTTAGTTGGTTCAAGGGCAGCATAGCGAAAGCTTGTGACTCTGCAAGTCAGGAAAGGTTTTTATTTTTTGATCAGCAGCAACAGGGGATAAGCCAATGTGCCAACATTTATGTACTCTATGTAGTGTATGTAATGCAGTATTGAAACTATATTGTTTATATACAAGATGGAATATGGTAAATTAGTCTTTATTCAGACCAAATTCTAGCAGTAAAACGTAAAAAATACCCATACTAAAATGAGACTTATCAACATGTAACTAATTGAAGCCAGGAGCTTTCTGATACATCCAATATACTTTTTTTCGGTCTGGAAACAAAAGGCTTGATCGTGAAACTGTCTGGTACAAATTAAATCGTGTAAACCATGCTGGCCAGTAATGCAACCAAAACCTCCGATGTCTTCCTTTCCCTCACATCACATCTTGCCAGGTTTCTCCCTGCTTGCCTTCGAACTACAACTCTCATCTCCTTTACCTATCCCTCAGTCTATTACAGGCTGTACAGCAGGGTTATTCAATTGGCGGCCCGTGGGCCAAATCCGGCCCCGGGGTGATATTTACTGGCCCTTTGAGTATAATGTTAAAAAGTAATCGTTTTTTTTTTTTTAAGATTTTTTTTTTTTTTCTTTTTTGTGCCAGAGTGCCTTTATTCCAGAGAGGGTGCTACATTGAGAGATACAGTAGAGGGGTAGACAATGCCTGAAAACTTCGACGGGCTCGGGTTTCGAACCCACCTACTATACTGTAGTGACAACTCCTGTCATTGATTGCATCTCTGTGTGAATGATTAGATCATTTCACCTAAATAAAATCAAATGAAATGATGTTGATGGTTAAATTAGCTTCACATGTAGGCCTACTGAGTTCTGAACTTGCCATTTAGATCTATAAAGGCCTTGGGGCTATGTTGTTTGATTTAATTAAACACATATATTATGCACTCCACTATGCTGTTGTAGTATTTACTGTATCTGAAGTTCTTAATATGATTGCTCATATTTCAAGCCATCTTTTTCCCGGCCCCTTGCTTTGGATCATTTTCATCAACCGGCCCCCATTCCAAACTAATTGAATAGCCCTGCTGTACAGTATAGCATAGAGTTGTATATTAAGGGTCCCATTCCTAGCTATCCACATTCCTTGTATCTTTGACTTTACTATTACATAAGAGGATGTGTGCTGCGCCTGCCTTCACTTTAGTTTGAAATTGGAGCTAGCAGAGCTATTGATAGTATATGTTCAATGTTGTTGTGAAAGGTCACCTCTAAGGGGGTGTTGAGCTTGGTGGAGGGAAGGAGTTAGTGAATCTCTTGCCTTGTCTTCTTTGCACTTATTCAGACTGCGGACCTCTGTGTGAACTGAACTCCTGATTACAGGATGGGGCAATGACCAGGATAGAGCCAAAGACTGAAAAGGTACAGTTGGCGGTTTTATTCTATTGTCCATTTTTTTTAAATGCAAAACTTCTATATGTTGGAATCTGCTTATTTCGAAAACTGATAAGTTAATCTTGCCACGGTACTACCATTTTAATTTTCTGATAGATAAAGGGGTGTAGCTTGAATTTACTAGGTCACTGGAGGACTCTACTCTTGAATAGTTAGTATTCAGTCTCTGACCTAAAATATTAAATTGCATTATTTGAGGACCAAACATGAAGTGTTTAGAAATAAATAAGAATCATAAGGAATACATGTATAAATTAAAAGTGTAAAAGGAGACAGTCTTATTCGTCATATTTGCAGAACACCTTTTTTAACATTGACTATTAAATGTTTTTAATGCAAAGTGAAACGCCCGTAGCTAAAAGTCACCAGTCCTCCTTTAATAAAGGATGTTTATCAATCGGATTTGACAAAAAGGCCACATATTTATTTTGCAGTTTATTTTGTATCTGGACAAGAAGATCCTGGTTGTATCCTCTTGTGTAACCTACCTGCTGAACCTTTTTGACAACCAGATCTTAAAACATGGCATGATTTAAAGCAATCCCTGTATAAGTTTATATTTGAAGACACAAACAGTTAATTAAAGGGTCAACCTTCTTTTTGAATTATTCTTCCTGGATCATTCTTCCTTTCCTCCAGGCATAAGGCAATTTACTGTCTCGTTTCTATTTCCCAAACAGAGGTGTGAATAAAAAGCAAGATGAATGGCTTAATACTCTGGAGCTGGTGTGTTAGAATTCCTGATAAGAAAGATGAAGTTGCTCTGCTCTGCAAAGACAAGTGCCGCAGCTGTTGTAGAGTGAGCGCTACGTTCAGGCACTTACAATGATCATCATCACAGGTCTCCAGCTAGGTACACACCCTTTCTCTCTCTATGTTTCATCATGGCATTGTTCTCTTTCCTTTGGCCTTGAGGACAAAGATAACCCTGTGAAATTCTTGTCTGGATTATTTCACACTGATTGAGAAGGGCAGAGTCTGATGTTGTGATGGACAACTTGTAACAGGTGGCTCAATATGACAATATACCTGAGTTTGTTGTAGACCAAAGGATTCATGTTTCATTTCTATTATGGCAATTATTAGATGTTGGTTGTTCAAATCCGTGGTGAACATACAATTGATTTACTTTCTTACAATAGGCCTTTTCTCAGTCTGTGTTAATGGATCTTCAATTGAAAACACTAAAATCACTTTGAGGAAGGAAAGGAAATATTGAGTTATTTCTCCTGCTCTCATATCTGGAAGTTTAGCTAATTCTGTAAAATGAGGATGATGAGTACAAAGCAATTGTTGGACTCGTTCTCCATCTCAGATGTTAAAATCCCTGAAAAGTTCTTCAACTGTTCTTTGTCCCATTTCGGACTTGTATCCGCTACTTGTTTCAGCACAGTTTAATAAGCAGAATCCTCTGAGGTTGTACCAATTATTGGCGGCTTATATCTATGATTGAAAGAAAACATGTTGTAACTTTGATATGCTATTGTCGCTGTTGTCTGCTAAGTATTTCTAAACACCATAGATGACATGTTAATCATTTGAGACAGAGGAGTCTATTGTACAATTCAAGTCAGTATCCAACACTGAGCCATTGCTTATTTAATTTGTCTGCTGTTAGCATGTGGGTGACAAAGAATAACACTATGCAATTTATGTGTTAACCTTGTAATCTCTCTGCAAATATAGAAAACATTGGAAGGACAGGGCCATGTGAGATCAAGGTCAGCATTGAAGACACGTGTCGAGCTGATATTTACTCTTCACTGGAATACCTGTGGCAGAGAAAGCTGAGCATCAGTTCCTCCTCTGTGCTGCTGCAGGATGAAGTACGGTAGGTAAGTCATAGATCCAGTTTAAAAAAGGATTTGTTTATATTGATTGCACGCTAGTTTCATCAAAAGTCATCACAGGTTACATAATGCATGTTATTGTAACATTACAAAATGTATTTTTGACTGTTTATTAGGGCTGTGCATCTTCACTGGTCTCACGATTCGATTCGATTACGATTATCCTGTCAACGATTCGATTCAATTCGATATCCCGATGCATCACGATTCATACCAATGCGTTGCATCCTCAATTTTCTATATTACTGCACATGGCTTATTTTTCATCAATGCATACATGCAGTAAATACATATGAACTCTTTTTATTATTTAGAAAGTGCTTCAGAAATCAATAACATAAATGTCTTGACATTAATTTATAAACCAAAATAAATTAATTGTATATGTCTAGCCTCCCTATATCTGTGTGAAGTTGTTCCATCCTCAAAAACAAAAAACTAATGCAACGGTCTTCTGTTAAAGAAAGGACACTGAATGTCCTGAATGTGGCATCACAAACATGACTTGAGTCTGAACACAGCAGACAACAGGAGTATTTACAACAGCATATACAAACAAAAATACTGCATGTGGGTGCACACTTACATTCTCTGTCTTACTGTTACATAAATCCCATGAATGTATGAGATTAAGTTAGCTTCATTATATCTCAATCAGTGATTAAGTGAATAATAAAGTTTCTATCGGGTCACTATCAGCCTGTCACTCATTATTTTCAGGGAGGGGGCGGGGTTTGGAGGAACGGAGAGGAGACGGTGATCGCGGAAGCTTTTTTCCTCCTGCCTTCACAAACTTTACACACGTATATAATAATATCGTCTGAAAATTGCTAGAGGACATTCATACTCTGCAATCCAAGACTTAATTAAATCCACCAAAAACCTGACATGATTGTAACGCGATTATTTTTGAAAAACATAAATCCCTGTGTCTCTGAGCCGCAGCGACACGGAGTGATTCAGAGCGGGTCCTTCTGCTGTTGGTTCTGGACTGGTGTTCTTGTGTTGGTGGATAAAGCAGACTGCTCCGTGTTTGGTGCCGCTGTGCCGCTGTCAGTCTGTTCCCTGATCTCTGCGTCACCGACCGATTTGATATTAAAGTGACAGAAAAAAAAACATTATAGTAAAGCCACGGCCGGAAAATCAGGAAGCGACGTTACTACGCTATAATCGGTTATCTTCCGTCACTGCATCGAGACCGAATCGTCCACGTCCGCATCGCAATGCATCGTAGAAACGATTATTTTCAACACCCCTACTGTTTATGGTTATCAATGAATGTGACAAATGTTAATTGAATGTGCAAATCGATTAACTATGTTTCACAGTTATGCATAACATAAAACCAAACTCATATGTGTAAATCAAAACCTCAGTCATGTAAAGCTTGCTCTGCATCATTCATTGTTTAAACAAAAGTGTAAAGTACAATAACTTGAGAAGATCATATAGGTATGATGTAAAAATTCCTGCAATTTTAAGAAAAAAAATGACTTTTCCTGCCACTATTTCAATAGGCACGCAGCACCAGTCTCAAATAGTCGGCCAAGTTATCAATTTAAGATAAACAAAAGTTTTGCAATTAATTGTTTTTTAATAGACTTGGTTGAATCTGGCTTAATCCTAATAACATTCTGGTTTCCTTAAAACAGTGTTTAAACTGCCAAAGAAATACATTACAATACATGTTTACCTTAGGTTTATTATGGAGAAGGTAAAAAGACTTCTGAAATAACTTTTAAACCATCAGTAGATTATTTCTAGGTGTAGCAGCAATTTCCTTATTTTGGAATCTGTTTAAAGATTTGTTTACAGTTCAATTGATGTGGTAAGGAAAGGTATTTTATATATTAAGGCACAGTATTAAACATGCTGATATTGCTCTCATATATTGTGAACCTGATGTATCAATCTGAGCCAATACTATTTTAAGCCCAACACTGGAAAAAAGCAACAAAACACTTTAAAATGACGATAATCTCACAAACAAGTAACAGAGCTATTAGGATGTATTGGTGTCAGTAAAAACAATAAATCAAATGTAGTTATAAAGATTGATAGAAACATCTTGGCATCAATATGACAGTCAGAAAACAGTTCAGAGTGTCAGCACAAGGTGGCAGGAGCGAGCTGCTTATCATAAGTAACCCCTCGTCACTTGTAACCCTCCACAGGAAGTGAACACATGAGTGTGTAAGATATTGATTGGTTTTCTAATAATCTTCATCTACTGAAATCCATTTACCAGTAATGTGATAGTATCCATTGTGATGTGGTGATAGCCGGTCAGTTTAACATATTCAACTGCATGTTAGGTCTCCTTACTGCTCCTGACCTTTAGGTTCATGTACAAAGTTCACCTAATTGAAATAAAAGAGGACTCTGTTCGTTCATTTGATTGCACTCTTTTTTATTCTACAGTTACTTTAAAGACAAAGGAGACTACATCAGAGGAGAACCCAAAGATCTTACGTGGCCGTCTGCGAGTTTCACTCCTCCTCCAGCCCTTTCTGTGATGAAGAATGATAAGAGAGTAGACAAAGAGAGGCGGATTAGTGACAGAGGGCAAACAAGACTCAACAGCAAGTCTTACTGAAGGTAACTTGGCTAAAGATAGTGGTGACAAGTAAGTGGAACTGACAGTGATGTATTTCAACACTATTTAGAATTTTAAATAAACGTAAAATTAGCAGAAAATATATATATCTTTTAAAAGAATAACCGTTTCGATCCTTTTGTAGTTGTAGTTAGCATTAATGTCATGGTGCCTTTTGTGTAACAACATTGACATGAACACTAACCCAATACATTGCACTAATTTAAACTAATAAAAGAAAATATACTAAAAACATAAAAAGAAAATTTATATTTAAAAGTCTGGTCTGATTTGTTCACTACCATTGGAAATGATTTACATATATATATAAATACTGATTTTGTTTAAAATAAAACAAGGCTTGAATGGATTACATAGAAATGGTTACCAGGGTGAAAAATACTGTGTATATTTTAATGAAGTGAAGAGAAGCTTCTTACCTTGGAGCCTACATCGCGGCTCTTGGCACGCAGCTTGTTGACCTGAGACTCAGCAATGTCAGCTCTCTCCTCAGCCTCATCCATCTCGTGCTGCAGTTTACGGAACTTGCCCAGATGAGTATTGGCCACCTCTTCCTACAAGATTCAACGAAACACAGCGCCCAATATTACTACCAGAGGCATTAAACCTGGGGAAATGTAACTTAAGGCCATAACCAGTCTCTGTGTAGTTAATTCAACATTGGTTTGTAGTTTCCATATTGATCCAAGTCAAGTCACAATTAAGACTGATATATTTCATGACTTTAACATAAACATGTTCTATGAACTGTCTCTATCTTCTATGATGCCTTAAAAAGTTTGTTTAAATCCCCAATTTACATTTTGCCAAGGTAAGTCAATTTGAATCATTAATGACACGGAGTGTAGATCGTGATCACATAGCACAGATTAGAGAAAGCTTTTCCCACACTTACAGCCTCCTCTGAAGCTCTCTTGTAGGCTTTGACTTTCAGTTGCAGTTTGTCAACCAGATCCTGCAGACGCGCCATATTCTTGCGGTCTTCCTCAGTCTATGTGAAACAATGGAATAAGAAAGAAAAGTTGATTACTATTCTCTTTCTAAAGCATCTTATTTTTTACAACAACATTATGAAAAAGAAGGTGATTATTAGTGGAGCATGGAGAATGTTCAGAATATTTTATATACATTTTGAAGCAATGAAAGTACACACACACTTGCTTTTTGTATAGGTCATGGTAATATGCACATAAAAAAAAATCACCTGGTATGTGAGCTCTTTGACGCGTCTCTCATATTTACGGACCCCCTTCACTGCTTCAGTGCTCTTCTTCTGCTCTGACTCCACCTCACCCTCCAGCTCCCTCACCTGAAAACATCAGGAACTTATTTATTTGGAATTCCATTAGCTGCACAAGCAGCAAAGCCACACTAATCAATTTTTTGAACATTGAATCTCAGTTTTAATTCCATGGCATCGTAAAATCATAACCCCACTGTAAACAGTCTTCCCAAAATCAAACAGAAGATTAGCATTAGAAGTTAGCAAGTACCTGATGGAGGAATTTGATAATTGTTGTTTAAAACATTATACTGTAGGTTTACAAATATGCATTTAATGTTTGTCCTAGAAAGGTATTTGTGAAAGTATTTGTATACTGGCAAATTTCTCTTACCCTGGCCTCGAGCTTCTGCAGCTGCTTCTTGCCTCCCTTCATGGCGATCTGTTCAGCTTCATCCAGACGGTGCTGCAGGTCTTTGATGGTTTGCTCCATGTTCTTCTTCATGCGCTCCAGGTGAGAGCTGGTGTCCTGCTCTTTCTTCAGCTCCTCTGCCATCATGGCAGCATCAGTGATGGCTTTCTTAGCCTTTTCCTCAGCATTTCTGCACTCCTGCACTGCTTCCTCCACTTCAGTCTGAAGCTGGGATGCGTCAACCTCAAGTTTTTTCTTCTGGTTTATCAGGCCAGTGTTCTATAGTTTTTTGAGGATGTGAGATGTTACAACATATTTGTAACTGTACTTAATAAAAGTAAAGCTTTTATGTTTTTTTCTACAACAAAAAAGTCAACTAACCGAGGATGTTGCAATAAATAATTAGGACTCACCTGTGAGTGCAGGAGCTGCACACGTTCACTAACATCCAGCAGCTCTTGCTCAGCAAGTTTGCGGCCTCTTTCAGTTTGCTCCAGAGCAGACCTGAGTTCCTCAAGTTCAGCCTGAAGCAGGTTGTTGCGTCTCTCAATAATGGCATTGTTCTCCTTAAGATCTTCATTGGATCGAAGAGAGTCATCAAGCTGGATTTGGGCGTCCTTAACGGGATGATATCAACCAGATCAATGTTCAGTAAATAGTGCAATTGAATGGAAAACATCTGAAGAAAGTGACCCTTTCCTAGTTTACCTTCAGATGTGCATGGACAGATTTAAGCTGTTTCTGAGCCTCAGCCGCCTGCCTGTTTGCCTGGCTCAGCTGGATCTCCATCTCATTAAGGTCTCCCTCCATCTTCTTCTTCAAACGGAGAGCCTCATTCCTGCTGCGACACTCAGCTTCAAGAGAGCTCTGCAGAGTGTCAATGGTCCTCTGCAGGTTCCTCTTGCACTGCTCCATCTCCTCGTCTTTCTCAGCTAGTTTGCGTTCAATTTCAGCTTTAATTTGATTGAACTCGAGCTGGGCTCTTAGAATCTTCCCCTCTTCATGCTCCAGGGAGGCCTTACAGACAGAAGATTACAGAGTTATAGATACATTACAGCAGAGGGTTTTACTTTCAAATGTTTCATTATGAGGGCCTGTACCTCAGCTTCCTCGAGAGCAGACTGGATCTCCATTTTCTCCTGTTCCAGTTGTTTCCTTAATTTCTCCAGTTCATGCATGTTCTTTCCGCTCTCGCCAAGTTGCTCAGTGAGGTCAGACATTTCCTCTGTGGAATGTCAAGCAGTGCGATTAAAATGGCTTTCCAAAAAAAGTTCATGTAATGTTTACGTCCACGTTAACTTTGTCAAAAGTCTTGGCAGTCGATCTTACCCTGTAAGTTCTTATTCTCTCTCTTCATGGTCTCCAGATGATCCACAGACTCCTCATAGGAGTTCTTCAGTTTGAAGAGTTCAGTGCTCAAAGACCTGGCCTCTTTCTGAGAGCTCTCCAGCTCACACTGAGACTCTTCATACTTTTGCTTCCATTCAGACAGGACCTACAGTGGATAAAAATGCCAGAAGTACATGTATATGTGCCAGATGATTGGAGAAAGGAAATGTTTTGGGAGTTTGTATTGAATCAAACAAATTCTCTTAATATTGAAAATGGCAATCCAAGGCGGACAATATATATATCTCACATTACCCTTAACAAAATGTGCTTAAGGGCTGTTGAATAGACATATTTTGACTGAAGAGACATTTTGCACCCTTAATGACAAAATGACACACTTTACAGATGGCTAAAGTGGATATGGAAATGGAGGAATTTAAACTGCTAGTTAAAATGTCAAGAGACTTTTTCTAATCGTATCTTCAACTGTTAGGGCTCCTTTGAGTAATAGTCTAACCCCCAGCTGATTTGTTAAGTTTGCTCTGTAGTGTGATCTATTTTTATTAAGATGTAACTGTTGTAAGCATGAAGCTGAACAATACTTTAAAAAGCAGGTTTAAAGATCAATTTAAATATAATTCATGATATTTTTGAGGGTATAAAGGCTACACCGCCAATTGATACTTTGGGTGCTCACAAATACTTGGTAGTTTATACCTTGTCAAAGTTTCTTTGCTTCTTGTCCAGAGCAGCAGCAGCAGCATTAGACCTCTCAACATCCACCATGAGATCTTCAATCTCATTCTGCAGCCTGTGTTTGGTCTTCTCCAGAGACGAGCACTTAGCATTCGTTGCTTCAACAGCCTCCTCAGCATCCTGCAGACGCTGAGCCAGCTTTTTCCTTTAGAAATTGATCATTCAAATAATTTTAACAATCCTGGAAGTGTTTCTTTTGGATATATTATAAGTAGTGCAACTAATGACTGGCTGCTCGGTCATCTAAAAGACAAACTTTTTGTTCGTCTTACATTTTAGTAGGAACATAACACAAACAAAAAGCTGATCTGCTAGACGAAATAAATGGTCTCTTTAGTTACCACATATCAAATAATGAATTAGGATCTCAAAATGTCTTACTTTGCTTCCTCCAGTTCCTCGGTTCTCTGGATGGCATCAGTTTCGTACTTAGTTCTCCACTGAGCTACCTCAGAGTTGGCCTTGGACATGCCGCGTTGTAATTCACACTTGGCCTCCTGCTCCTCCTCATACTGCTCCCTGAGCAGATCACAGTCATGTCGAGAAGACTGCACTGCATGGGCTAAAGCATTCTTTGCCTGTGGAAAAAAACCAAGATGAATGAGCAACACTGTCATGAGCTTTTGTTGAAACTTACTGTAACCAAGGCCTGAAACTTATTTTCACCTTGGTCTCCTCTTCTAGTTGTCGCTTGAGGTCATCAACCTGCTGGGTGTAGGACATTTTGCCTCTTGTCAGCTGTGATACCAGAGAGTCCTTCTCTTCTAGCTGCCTTGTGATCTCACCTTGAATTGGCAAATGTATGTTTGTTATTGTCCAAACAAACCATGTATAGTATAGATGTTGATATTTCAACACATCTTATCTGGTTTTCTTAGTAGACACGATTTTTTTTTTTTAACGGGAAAATGGTCTTATTATTGATCAAATACAGCAGGTAGATATCAGTTAGTTATGAAGCAAAAAAATATACCATTTTCTGTTTGAAGTTTAGCTTTCTGCATGTTGAAATCATTAATGCAGCGATGAGCCTCTTCATATTTGGTCTTGTATTCATTCATCTGATCTTCCACTGTCCTGCATGTCTTCTCCAGATTTGTCTACATTTAAAATAAACATTTGAAATGAACCATTATACCCCAAATGTCCTCATATCTGCATGTCAACAGTATTTAGAAGTTGTGTATTAGTTTAGCCAACCTTTGTCTTCACAATATGTTCCATATTGGAGACCACATCATCCAGCTCCAGTCTGAGCTCACTCTTCTCCTTCTCCAGTTTCTGCTTGACTCTCTGCAGGTTGTCTATCTGCTCTCCCAGATCAGCCACACTGTCAGCTTGTTTCTTCCTGAGTGTGGCAGCAGTGGATTCGTGCTGCAGAGTAGCCTCTTCAAGGTCTCTGCGGAGTTTCTGGAACTCGGCCTCTCTCTTCTTGTTCATCTCAATCTGGGCAGATGTTGCTCCACCAGCTTCCTCCAGCCTCTCACTGATCTCCTCCAGCTCTCTGGCCAAGTCGGATCTCTGCTTTTCCACCTTAGCTCGAGCAGCTCGCTCTGCTTCAAGCTCTTCTTCAAGTTCTTCAATGCGAGCCTGTAAAGGCAGAACTATTAAGTTGCTGGTTCATTTCTACCAAAATAAATAAAAAAAGGTAGTGATCCATTACCTGGAGCTCCTTCAGTTTCTTTTGAAGCTGAATTGTCACAGCCTGCTCATCTTCTATTTTACTGCTGAGCTGACTGATCTCAAAATCTTTCCTGTGGTGAAATGCAGAAGTATGAATTAGAAAAGCTGGCCATCCTTTCTGCAGACAAACTGTAATACTTTAGAATACTGTGTTTACTTTTTCATATGCTCTTCAAGTTGCTGCTTGTCATTTTCCAGATCCATGAGGCTCTCCTGGGTTAATTTCAAATCTCCCTCTAGTTTCCTCTTAGCTCTTTCAAGATCCATCCGAATCTTCTTCTCTTGTTCCAGAGAACCTTCAAGCTGGACAATATCATTATAGAAAGTCAAATAATGTCAAAGTTATTCCCAATATGCAAGATGCAATGATCTCATGAAAACGTTGAACGTAAAAGTTTGCATTAACACAAAGCAGAATTCTTACATCATCCACTTGCTGCTCCAGCTTAGACTTGGCCTTGGTCAGAGTGTTGACTTTATCTTCTTCACTCTGAAGATCATCCAGTGTTTGCTGATGGGCTTCCTGTAGGGCTTTCTTTTCTTTGGTCAACTTAGCAATGATGTCATCCTGACCAGCCATCTCTTCCACCAGGTTCTTTACCTGAAAAATGAATGATAAGTATTGATAAAAGGGTACAGGTGCTTCTTGTTTGTGCATTTAGTTTTAAGAAATAGCTGGGCCAGTGTCATACCTTGTTCTCTGTGGCATGCTTTTCTTTCTCCACCTTAGCCAGAGTTAACTCTAAGTCATCAATGTCTTTCTTCAGCTCAGAGCACTCATCCTCCAGCTTCCTCTTCTTAGCAGTCATTTCAGCATTCATCTCCTCTTCATCCTCCAGCCTTTCCGTGAGCTCTTTGGCTTTTGCCTCCATCTGAATTTTGTTTTTGATCAGCCCCTCGCATCTTTCTTCTGCATCCGCAAGATTATCTTGCTCCTAAATTGTAGAAATGTATGTCAAAATATCATAGGTTTCCATATACATGATTTTTAGGATATAAATGATTATATTAGACTTTTTGCATTAAAATATTAAGAAAGCTCTTGTTAAACTTACAGATTGGACATGGAGCTGCAGGTCATTCTTCTCTTGAAGAAGAGAAACCATTTTCTCCTCCAGTTCCTTTCTACGAGCTTCAGATTTTGCATATGCCTCCTTCAGCTTCAGGAATTCGTCCTTCATGTTGGCCATTTCCTTTTCTGATTCAGCCGATCTCAACAGAGGTTTAATTTTGAAGAACAGCTTCATCCAGGGCCAATTCTTGACCCCCATGAAGGCACGGATGTTCCACTGGATCACCAAAAGTGCATCTCTGTCAAAGATAGAACAACGTTATTTCATCCACTGATACGAATAACATCATGTTGTATGATTGTTATCATTTATTTGGTTTGTGTTTTATATTCTATATTCCTCTGACCTCCTTTCAACAATTCTCTGGAATTCCACTCTTGCCAGCATGCCTCTTGCTCTTGCCTGGATCCCAGTGATGATGAGGGACAAACGGTCATCCCTCATCTCTTCCAGTTGACCAAGAAGACCAGCCTTAAAGAACACCTTGAGGAACATGTATTGTATTACACATAAGAGCTCATGCCTTAGGAAATTGCAGCTTTAAAGCTGAATAACTGAATAACTTTGTTACTCTTAGAAATAAAAAGCTGAACTTAAAGTGGACCTATTATGCTATATTGGAAAAATACATTGTAGGGCCATACCTATACAAAACAAGTCTGTGAAGTTTTTTTGCTTAAAATACCAAACAGATCACCCATTGTAGCCATGCCTCATACCCCTCTGTTGCAGCCCTGTTACAAACAGGCTGATTCTGCTTTAAATTGAACGTCTGCTGCTAGCCACGCCCCTTTGTAGCGTCACTCAGCTTTCCCCTGCTAGAGAGAGATTTCTACCGGGAGATCTCAGCTAAACGCTGCGGTGATTAAATGCCATGTTATGCTCCTAACCACTTCAAGCTTCATTTCTGAAACAGTATGGAGCTCAAACCTTTCTCAGTAGTACTACGTGAGTTTTACCTTTACCCATGGATGCACAATAAGAACGGATTATATGATTATATGAATACTTTCGTGACGTTTCGCTCTCTCAAATGTTGGGCCATTTTGTCTTCATGCGCCAATGAGCAACTCTCATAGGAATGAACGAGGCCCCGCCTCCCACGCTGTATCCAGTTCTTATTATACATCCATGGCCAATATTCGTTGTGTCCAAACGGCGGTACTGCAATTTCCGTATCAGTCCGTGACGTCACCCGGCCCAAAACAACTTTTTCCCATTGACTAACATGAGACGTCTGTAAATCGGTGGATACTTTTTTTTTAACTAAATAAACTACACAGTATGAACTATTTTATAGCCCTTATTAGAATCATTCGGTCCTTAAAGTTGTAAAAGGCACTAAAAGCCGTATCTTTATATTTCTCTCTCCATTCATTCTAGTGAGCCGAGAGTGGGAACTCGGGGGCCGGGGCTTAAGGGGTGCATGCTCTGTGAGCGCACATATGGGTTCTTCTGCTCTGACAGCCAGGCATGATGGGTAATCTGACATTTCGCTCTCTCAAAGGTTGGGCCATTTTGTCTTCCTGCGCCAATGATCAGCTCTCATAGGAAAGAACGAGACCGCGCCTCCCACGCTGTATCCAGTTCTTATTATACATCCATGGTTAGCACCCCCTTTCTTTTCTTTTTTTTTATGCGATGTGGGCACGGAGGAAAAGAGAGAGGGTTTTGTTTTCTAACACTTTGTGAGTTCCCTGACACACCGGGGACACATATTTATGTATAAAAGACATCAAAAAGTGCATTTTGCATAATAGGTCCCCTTTAAATGAATTCTTGCTTAATGAAAAGTGCTCAGAAATGTAGCTGCTACAGGCCTATTTGATCTGTTGTAGTGAATAGCCTTTGGTAACATATAGATAAGATTGCTGAATTGGTGTCATTAAGTTTACTGACTTGATAATAATTTGTGTTACAATTTCTACCCTTCATGTTCTACTGACACTATTTGCATTTATAAACAGTTGTTACCAAATATGCTTTCTATTTAATTAGCTACCTTTGTGTGTCCAAACTTGTACTGACTGTGGTCAATATCCAGAGACCCAAGAAGTTTCTCTGCTCCCTTCTTGCTGTCAATGAACTGGCCGTCAGGGATGGCAGCAGGATTCAGGATGCGATATCTGGAAAATAAATAATATTTTAGAGATTTTCTTTCAAGGGTGTGACTAAACATTAACCATAAATGATTATACCTTTGTTTGAAATCTGCATAGGTGACCCTATTGGGAAAGCCCTTCCTGCAGATCCTGATGCCTTCCAGCACACCGTTACAGCGCAGCTGGTGCATCACCAGAGGGTTCTCCATGGCCCCAGGAGTCTTGGTCTCATTGGGGATGATGCAGCGTACAAAGTGAGGGTGAGTGGACTTCAAGTTGGTCATCAGCTTATGCAGGTTCTCCTGTGGAGAACAACCAGTTTGGTGATATTGTGACGCATAGTTTTCAGTTATTTATATAAAAGTAAGTCTCAGTCATCAGTATGCATTTGATGTAGCCATTCATACATAGATGTATTTTTACTAACCCTGTGCAAGGCAGACACAGTTTGGAAAGATGAACCCTTCTTCTTGCTGCCTTTGCCACCCTTTCCACCGTCAGCTAATAAACCAATGTACAACTCATTAGATTGAATTAAAAGACACTGGCATAAATTGTTCAATCTTGAAGTTCTCAATAGGACACATGTTAGAAAGCCTTTACATTCCCATTCGAGGTAGATCATTTAGTTTATTCCTACCTGACTCTGATCCAGCGTAATTTACAAAGAGCAAAGATAGCAGTTTAAGATTGGACTTCTGGTAGAGTCCAACAACAGTCTCATTCAGAGGATCTTTGTTTTTCAACAGCCAGCTGTTGATATTATAGTCAACAGTTCCAGCGTAGTGCATCAGGGCAAAGTGGGCCTCTGGTCTCCCTTTGACAATTCTGGGCTTCTGGAAGTTACCAGACTTCCCGAGATGGTTGTCATAGAGCTTGGATTTAAAGGTGGCATCAGAGGCTTTGGGGAACATGCACTCCTCTTCAAGGATGGACATGATACCCATGGGCTGAAAGGACAGAAATTAGAATTGCTTTAATAGACCATTACAAAACAAATAATTCACAAACGTGTAAAAGTGCAAAATCTTACCTTTTCAATCAGGTCAATACAGGCCTGCAAATCCATGCCAAAATCAATGAAAGTCCATTCAATGCCCTCTTTCTTGTACTCTTCTTGCTCCAGCACAAACATGTGGTGGTTGAAAAACTGTTGCAGTTTTTCATTGGTGAAGTTGATGCACAGCTGCTCAAAGGTGTTGAACTGTAATAACATTAATAGTAAGCAGGAATGAACTCATGAACATTTTAAGCACACATGGTAATAACGTGCTTTGGATTTTGTTACAAACTTACATCAAAGATCTCAAATCCAGCAATGTCCAGTACTCCAATGAAGTACTGGCGGGGCTGCTTTGTGTCCAGGGATTGGTTTATCCTCACCACCATCCACAAAAACATCTTCTCATACACTGATTTAGCCAGTGCACCAATAGAAGAGTTCACCTAAAGGAAGCCCAACATTTAAAAATGACAGTAAATAACCCAAAATTGGACTTATTGTCCACACATTGATAGTTTCCCTAGTACATTGAACTCTGAACTGTCATTCTTACCTGCAGGTCACTTTGTCCCTTGGTGACCCACTCATTTCCGACTTTGACTCTCGGGTGACAGAGACCTTTGATGAGGTCGGAGGTGTTCAGGCCCATCAGATATGCAATTTTGTCAGCATCTGAAAAAATTCAATGTAGGACTCTTCAATGAGCATCACCTAATCTCTTATAAACACATAAAATGCTGACATGTGACATATCCTGTTTCCTGGCTTCAGCGAGATTCTCTCACCTTCGGTGCCATCAGCCTCTGCCTGTTCTTCACGCTGCTTGTTCTTAAATTTCATATTTCCATGATGCATGATGGCACCAGTCAGCTTGTAAATGCCGTTCTTCTCTTCTTGATTAAATCCCAGCACATCAAAGGCTTCCTGAATGGGGAGATGGGTATTATATTTGTTGTGTCATTTACCTTTACAATTCTATCGGGATGTCTAGTTATGTGAAGAGATAACACAAATATTTGAGTAGCTTTAAAAGAAAATAGTTTGACATCTGACCTCAGACATTTAGTCCAGTCTATACAAATAGTGTTTTACTCTAATCTAGGGAAACATTAACACTGGGTTACATAACATTTCACAATCTCATTACTAACATCTAGATTTTCTGCCTTTTTTAAACCCCCTTAAAATGATGCCAATACCAATAATGTAAGTTTATATTTCAGTAAACTCTTTGAAGTCTTGAATAGCAAAATGAATTCAATGGAACTGAACTTTTTCATGCTAGTGGCTTTTCCATAAATACATTTAGATCAATCTCTTCTTACATCAGTTGCCATCAGTTCGTCAGCATCATTGATGGATGCTACTGTCGTCTCTCCTTGGGAGATGAAGCCGTAGTCATAGGGGTTGTTGGTGATAAGCAGCATTTCTAAAAAGCAAAAGAGAGATGTTCGTTGTTGTATGTTAGGGATACAACAACCTTGGAACTTCTTGTTGTTAGTGGCCCAAAGATCCTTTTTTTAATTTACCAAGCAGCTCAGGCTTTTTCTGAGACAGAATCTGATAGAAGATGTGGTAATCCCTCTCGGCCTTAAGCTGATAGGTGACCCGGGACTTTTCCAGCAGATCTGTGAAGACATAAGAAGTGGGGAGGTGATCATTGGGAACATTGAAACGGACAAGATGAAAGTCTGGAGAAAACACTGCTTACATGTCTCAATGTCAGCTGAGGCCAGCTTTCCACTGGCTGCAAAGTGAATTCTGATGAATTTACCCTAAAGTGTATGACAAAATGAAAATGTTACAATGTTATAGACTAAACGTAGTATTTCTTTACAGACAGATACTTACAAATCTGGAGGAGTTGTCATTCCTGATGGTCTTTGCGTTACCAAAGGCCTCTAAAGCAGGGTTAGCCTGAATGATTTGATCCTCCAGAGAACCCTAGAGGAATACAGGTATGCAAATTGTATTAGCAACACAAAGAGAAAAGTATGCAATATGCAGTTAAAAGATCTCAGCATTTTCACCTTTTTGTCACTGCCTGCATCCTTCTTCCCGCCTGCAGCTGCAATGCTGGCAAAGTACTGGATGACTCTCTTGGTATTGACAGTTTTCCCAGCACCGGATTCTCCGCTGAAGTTACACATTATATTGTTTTATAAATTGACAAATGTGAAACACACAGTAGCCCATATGCAACTACACAGGTTTTTAAATTTATGAACAAACATTAGTTACAATCAGTAAATAAGTAAATCCTTTTCAACATGTATCATTGTTTTCTTTCAGTACTCTATAGCTAACAAAACAGTGGCAATAGAGTAGTGGCTAGCATTCATGTTTGCTTCTAACTGAATCACATATTTACACTGTAAAAAACAATCAATAATTGCCATTACATTTATTATTCAGTGTTTATTCATTGTATATTCATGTATTCTTATACACTACATTAACATGCACAATTGTCTTTACCACTTAAAATATATAGTACTGGGTCTACATGGAGCATAAATGCTGAAACTCACAAAACCAACAAATAACATGCCTTGGAGGGCCGATTAATGCCACCTGCTCTAATTCTAACAGCATTATATAATTCTCAATTGCAGCATAACAAAGTAATGAAAAGATAACTCACGTGATGAGAATTGACTGATTTTCCCTGTCTGGAAAAGAGAAGAAAGGATCACTTAAAGAATACTAGGATTCCTAAGCGTTTTTATGATTCGCTTGTTATTAACATATGATAACTGAAAGTGAATTACCAGTGAGCATGTACTGGTAAGCATTGTCAGAGATGGAGAAGATATGAGGAGGAGCTTCAGCCCTCTTCTTTCCTCTGTAGGCAACAACCACCTCTTGGTTGTAGACTGGCAGCCCCTTGTAGGGGTTGACAGTCACACAGAAGAGACCAGAGTAGGTCTGTCGTATAAGGGGAATGACAAAATATAGTTATTTCAGATGCTGAGATGTCTTAATAACGAAGGAAAGTTACAGTTTAGGCATTTGTCTTACGTAAATCATCCATGCTGCATAACGCTCTTTGAGGTTAAACAGCACAGCGGGCTCATGGAGGAAGGTGAACATCGCCATGTCTTCAATTTTATCAAACTTTGGCGGGTTCTGAGGGTGTACATCGCACTCCTTCACTGTGACAGTCTGAAATGGAGATAGTCAGTATTAATACATTGTTATAAATCAAACAAGAGCATGTGTATAGGAAGGAAACCAACAAGCCACTGCGCATCATAGTCTCTGATTTCCACTGTTTCTCTGCCATGTATGACTAAAGGAAAATTAGACCTGATTTAATATTTGTCTTAGTTAGGAAACCACTTGCAGCAATGGCAGCTGTAACTGCCAGCTTACTGACCTTCCCTTTTGCAGTCTCAGCAGTGACTTTGTCTCCATCACGGCTGATGATGGAAGCCTTCACATATTCCTCATCAGGATCTGTAACAAAGCACTCCTTCTTCATGTCAAAGGCACGGGTCTGGGCCTCCAGGCGCTCCCGGTCTGACTTCCTCAGGTACGGGGCTGCTGCCCCAAAGTCTCTCATGACAGAGTCACCCATTGTTCACCTTGTCTATAGAAAAAAAGAAAGCATATGCTTATAAACAGTCCAATTTGAATTAGTTAATTAATCCTACATTGGTGTTATACTTTCCTTCATTAAATCCTTTTTTCAAATCAAACACATTTGAAACGTTCAGATGCTCTTACCTTACCAATCCCTATTGATGACACGGAGGTGTAATGGTCCTGAGGAAATGAACAATGGAAGCTGATGAGAAAAGTCTGCAGTCCACACTAACAAAGCTAATGCTTTAGAGTCAAAGTGTAGTCAGTGATTTCAGAACGCTTGTCTCTGCACCTTACCTTGAGATAGAATGGTGACCTATTGGGCGTTTCACCATGGGCTCTTTATAAACAAAGCCTCTCTGCCATATATGGAGGAGCGTTCAGGGTGCAGGAATGTTATTGTGTCTGCATAGGGTTGGGGGTTCATAGAGGGAGGGGGTTAATGAGTTCCCGAGTGCAATATAGAAATCAGTAGGTCCTAGTCTTATCAGTGATGGGGTCTGCTGACGTAGCCATATTAGGAGCTCCATGCACTCCAGTGATTAATATAGGTACCTTCAAGCAGCCAGGGACGGCAACTCAATCTTTAAATAGACACAGCGAGGAATTATTTTCTCGTCATCTCTTAAGTTTGCTTCTGTTACAGGAACAATACATGTTGTACTGAGCAGAAGCATCCTCACCTCAGACCGGCAGGACTGAACATTTGAAATGTGTGTAAAAGTTTATGATTAAATAGATGTGTTCATATCGATGGTGAGGTGTTCAACTTAAGGATGTCAAATAATGTACATTCACATTTGACTTTCAGTATTTATTGCCACTGTCTTTTTCTGTATCAAAAATGTACAATGTGGACAAACAACTATCAGACAACACTATTACAGTAACACAAATTCTACCAAGCACATAAAAAAAGGATTAAATGAAAAACATGCAGGTTAAGGACACAATTAAATAAATCATTAAAAACTGTAAAAATGAGTGAGTTCAAAAAGCTTATGGTATATATTATATGTCTATTTTGTTTTCCATATTTGTGATAAGAATATAGAAATCATTACATGTTGATTCTATAAAGGCTTGCATTAGAAAAAATAAAGTGTTAAATGATTAATGATTTATAAATTGGGAAATAATTAAGTAGACTTTATGCATACTGCATCTGGGAACAACAATAAGAAAACTAAAAGGTTGTTTATATTCTTTATATACAATAATCCAGAGTATTCCTTCAATGTAGACTCCTGGTCTTGTTGTGTAAACACAAAGGAAGACGCAGAAAATCTCTGGGGAGATATTCGAGAGAAGTATGTTATGTATGGGTCTCAATTACCCAGAAGGCTTAAGTGGAGTCGCAGTGAGGCATTGGGAGCATATTGTGTTTATTTATCATAGAATGGACTTCGCTGTAAGATAAATCAGATACCAAATGGTTGGGTCTAAATAAAGAACATGGGTCTGTGGGATTATTCAGGCGGCAAGTGCTGGGCGACACAGACAAGGGACTGCCACAGGTGACATTCTTGAGAATTACTGAAAGGCAGAAATGATGACACCCAATTGAGAGCTATGTCAGCATGACATGCTCCGATGAGACACCAAGGTCACTGTGGAAGCCTTCTCCCATTATCAGACAGCAGCTAACGAAAGCTGGCACCCTCAGTTACAGACCTGTTGACATGGCATTGTGTCTTTGAGGACAAAGATAGCTGCGTGAAATTCCTCTGTAGCACAGAGCCCTAATCGAGGAAGACAGCCTTCAGTTGGAGCAGATGATAGCCCCACGCTGGGTATTGTCTCACAAATATAATGGGAGTGACAGGTATATTCCACAGCCCATAACTTTTAATGTTCCTTTTAAATGCCCCTCCTATATGGGGTATGAGCCTAAGCTTCAGTTTTACATCAGCAGACTAACTTTAAGGTAGTATTCTAATATCTACTCCGTTAACAATATGCTTCTCTAAAAGTAGATATAAACCTTCCTACTGCCCACCCTTAGCTGCTGTTCAACAAGCCTCGTGACTGCGAAACACATTTTAATTTACATGTTATTCCCCTTATCCAAAAAGACTTTTAAAACAAACCACAACATTCATTGTAATTAAATATAACAACCACATTGCACAGCCCATCACTAGCACCAGTAATCACAGCCGCTTCAGAGGTTAAGAGATAAAAGGAGGGTCAACAGCTGGTGACAAGTGCTGAGATTATTTCCATTCTGATAGCTGTTTCGACAGCTGGCGTCAGGGGGCCAAATGGAAGTGAGAGATTCCATGCCCCTGCTAAAGACCAAGTGAAGATAACACTGACCTCACAGGTCAAACTTTTATTAATGAACGGGAACATGTTTCAAATGCTTTGTTTATCACAACAAATTAACATTGTCACCACATGTTTCCATTAAATACAAACAAGGGAAGGACATAAAAAGAGCCTCAAGCCACATGTCTCTTTGTTCTGTGCTCCCGAAGGACAGTATTTTAAAAGCCTGATTTAACTACAAAGCTTTCTTCTTATTTTACCCGTGACTTCATTGCTATTTTATAGTTATTTAGGTATTTTATCTCTTTTTAACCGTAAGGCAACTGTAAAAGTATTTTATAAATAAAGTGTGTAACTATCATTATTGTTTTAGTCACTATCTTGTTTTGATTTTGTTTTTGGATCCCCATTAAAATAGCACTTAGTTATTATTTATATTTGCTTATTTGATCACATAATACTCCTTCCATTTTCTGTTGTTTGAGCTTTCTGTAAATGACCAATGTTGCTTTTATAAACAGCTGCTGATGCTTTTGCTTCTGCTGGAAAAGCATTTCCCCTGGAGGGACCTGAGTCAGACCGGTGTGTAAAATATTTTATAAACTGGCTTTAAACTAAATCACTTTTGGGTTAGGAGGGTCAGTGGTAGTTGCAAACACATGCTTTCCACATCTCAGATAGGACCATTAACATCATTAAGCATGTTGGAGATGGTCTAATTATAGAGGCAGTACACTTTTTCCATCTTTGGCCAGTCCCCTCACTCATATGAGCATGGTCTCAGATGTCCTGTTAATCATGCCGATAATCCTCCACACACTGTGCTGCATGTGGTGAGCCTCTTAAACATAGGTGTGAATAAGCTTCCATTAGCTGATGGATACCTGCTTGTTCACTCAGGGAGTTGAGGACCTGACATGTAATAAGAGAAGAGACAGGACTCCCTGAATTTCACACAACGGGTGTCTGGGGCCTGCCCTCTCCTCCCTCCTTCTGCCCAAATGATTATTTAGCTTCCAGCACCAGCAGCAATGACTGAGACCTGCAGCAGCACCGAGGCAAAGCTCTAAACAGACAGGTAACCATAGCACTCTTAGTACAGGGAAACAATCATTATAGTTTGTTGTAATTTGCTGTTGTCTGTTTCATTATATGATCTACATATGTTATTGTTGGTTCTTTGAAATCCTCTTTAGCCCTTTGGAGGTATTTGCCGAGCAGCTGCCAGTAATTATTCATGGTATTATGGAAAGTCTGAGTATGAGCATTGGTTCATTGTTGACCTTGAGGCCCAGACTCCTGGGATTTCTTTTACTCTATTTTAAGAAAAGGATTTGATTTATCTCTCTCTCTCTCTTCTAGCAATCACTACAACTCAACGTCCCTCTTTTTAGGACATCTGCCACTACACTTCATTTGGTCCCAAGAGTTTTCCTGCTTTGGCCTAATTCTGTTCTTCCTGCTTCATGATTCCTTTACTGACGCCTATCAGTTTCTTTGTAAATGTAGTAGACTAATGTATTTCATCCCAAATTGTAAAATGTATTATTCAAATAGGCACTGTTACTTTTTTTGTGCGAGTGACCAGTCAATATGATCGATTTAAGTTTCATTAAACACAGTACTCCTCATACATTGTGTCATGAACAAACACTTTCTTAATAATGGAAGAACACAACGGCGTTAACATTTTTGATGAGATTTTATTAAGCATTACAGGTTGTGAATAGTGATAGGGAATCAATACAATGGAGTATTAAGGCCTCTATTGGGAACAAATCCCAATCTGAGATTTCCAATATTAAGTCATAATATTTAGAAAATAAAGTCTCAATATGATAGGTTGCTTTGAATGATATTATGCGTATAGTTCCTATTCAATTTCATGTGCATACTTTAATCTTTTATAACAGTCCAAAGGCCACTGAAGCCCTCAGTTATTCTGACTGGTTACCTTCCCTATGCTAGTATCTTCCTACTCATTGAAATCCTAAGGGAAGTGTGTGTATAGCTGCACTTTATCAGGTGGTGAAGATTTATGTGTCAATGTGTTTTCCAACTGTTTTGGTTTTAACCTCCTTGGCAACACAGCCGTCAGACATTTCCCTAAACTTTTGACTTCTCTTATCTGTTTACTATGACAGGGTCAAAATATCCAGATTCCTTCCACATGAAATTACAACTACATTTGTGTCATAATACAACTTGAAATATAATGACTTTATTCTAATTAGAAAACATGTTTTTAGTTGCAATACAATGCCCTTTTTTCTCTAAATATTACAACTTTATTCTTGAAATCTTACAATTTTCTCCCATGTTGGCCTTATACTCTGTTCTACAGCACACAGCGGGCTAAGGGATTTCTGCAGGCTCCAAAGCTTCACTCTTCCTCAAACACTTTCTGTTGCAGCCCAGGAATTTGGAAAAAAAGAAAAAGAGAAAGCTGTTAAGACTGCAGATAAGCAATGCTTTAATGCCATAAAGCAATGTATTCATTAACAGACAAATGTACACTAAAGCACACTTGTACTAATACTCAAAAAGCAGAGCAGCATGTTAAATTAGCCAGCAGAGGGCAGCAGGTGTCAGGGTCAGATGCTGAGCATCTGCTGCAGCGTGCATGGTTCAAACCTTGGGGCCCACATCACGGGTCTTGGCACGCATCTTGTTGACCTGAGTCTCAGCAATGTCAGCTCTCTCTTCAGCCTCATCCAGCTCGTGCTGCTGCTTCCGGAACTTACCAAGGTGAGCATTAGCCTGTTCCTCCTGTTGAGGATTGATACAAATAAAAATAGTTACCTATTGACAGGGTGAAAAGCCAAATGAAAACCACACTTCACACTTTGGCAAACTTACAGCCTCCTCAGTAGTTCTCTTGTAAGATTTAACCTTCAACTGCAGCTTATCTACCAGGTCTTGGAGTCGGGCAATATTCTTGCGATCTTCCTCACTCTGTGGAAATACAAGTACATTTCCTTCCAATACATTTCAACCACACAGAAAGATTATTAAAGCTAGTTGTGTCACAAACCTGATAGGTAAGTTCCTTCATACGGCGTTCGTATTTACGGATGCCTTTCACAGCTTCGGTGCTTTTCTTTTGCTCCAGTTCCACCTCATTTTCCAGCTCCTTCACCTGCTCAAGGACAGTGTTTTTTCAATAAATGTTCTCATAACCTCTTCAACATCACTATATAACACTAATGACTAATCAAAAGAAATACTAACCCTGGTCTCGAGCTTCTGGATCTGCTTCTTGCCTCCCTTCATGGCGATCTGTTCAGCTTCATCCAGACGGTGCTGCAGGTCTTTGATGGTTTGCTCCATGTTCTTCTTCATGCGCTCCAGGTGAGAGCTGGTGTCCTGCTCTTTCTTCAGCTCCTCTGCCATCATGGCAGCATCAGTGATGGCTTTCTTAGCCTTTTCCTCAGCATTTCTGCACTCCTGCACTGCTTCCTCCACTTCAGTCTGAAGCTGGGATGTATCAGCCTCCAGCTTCTTCTTGTGATTGATCAGGCTAGTGTTCTATTTGGATACAACCAAAGCTATTTCATTAAACAATGCACCATAGAGCAACATTTTTTATAATGAAACAAATTCATTGTCAGATTTCTGCCATACCTGTGAGTGCAGGAGCTGCACCCGTTCACTAACATCCAGCAGCTCTTGCTCAGCAAGTTTGCGGCCTCTTTCAGTTTGCTCCAGAGCAGACCTGAGCTCTTCCACTTCGGCCTGAAGCAGGTTGTTGCGTCTCTCAACAATGGCATTGTTCTCCTTAAGCTCTTCATTGGATCGAAGAGAGTCATCAAGCTGGAGCTGGGCGTCCTGTAGAATGATCAGATTCTCCGGTTACAAAGATACCAAAGTAATGATGCAAATTACAATAAAGGTATTTCCCCCTTTTTACCTTCAGATGTGCATGGACAGATTTAAGCTGTTTCTGAGCCTCAGCCGCCTGCCTGTTTGCCTGGCTCAGCTGGATCTCCATCTCATTAAGGTCTCCCTCCATCTTCTTCTTCAAACGGAGAGCCTCGTTCCTGCTGCGAGTCTCCGCGTCAAGAGAGCTCTGCAGGGTGTCAATGGTCCTCTGCAGGTTCCTCTTGGACTGCTCCATCTCCTCGTCTTTCTCAGCTACTTTACGCTCCATGTCTGCCTTAATCTGGTTGAACTCAAGTTGGGCTCTTAGAATCTTTCCCTCCTCATGCTCAAGAGACCCCTAAGATGGAAATCAGGAATTAATTTAAAAAAATGTCTACTACAACTTTGAAACTAAAATGATAAATGTATCAGAAAAAGCTTTGACATTTAAGTGTTACCTCTGCTTCCTCGAGTGCAGACTGAATCTCACTCTTTTCTTGCTCCAGCTGCTTGCGGGCTTTCTCCAACTCATGAATGCTTTTTGCTCCCTCTCCAATTTGCTCAGTGAGGTCAGACATCTCCTCTGTGTATGAGAGTAATGGTGTGTAATTCACTTTTTTGCCACCTGAAATATGTATGATATGCCATTTTAGACACCTTAATATACATTACCCTGAAGATTCTTGTTCTCCCTCTTCATGGTATCCAGATGATCCAGTGACTCCTCATATGAATTCTTCAGTTTGAAGAGCTCTGTGCTCAAAGACCTGGCTTCCTTCTGAGAGCCCTCCAGCTCACACTGAGACTCTTCATACTTCTGTTTCCACTCAGACAGGACCTAGACATTGAGATACAAGTTGTATCATTTCACGTTTAAATCACCACTTCAAACTTTTAACAGCAAAAGGTGCATTGGTTGAGTAGACCATTTTCACTTTGAAAACCAGGTTTTTAATGATAAACAATGCTGATGTACCTTGTCAAAGTTTCTTTGCTTCTTGTCCAGAGCAGCAGCAGCAGCATTAGACCTCTCAACATCCACCATGAGATCTTCAATCTCATTCTGCAGCCTGTGTTTGGTCTTCTCCAGAGACGAGCACTTAGCATTCACTGCTTCAACGGCCTCCTCGGCATCCTGCAGACGCTGAGCCAGCTTTTTCCTGAAAAAGATAACAAGTCTTATCCAATGTTTGCTTAAGTGTCTCTTTATTTTAGAGACATGTTATGGCTTTGTTAAAGCACATTAAATAAAGGCAGTAGTGATGTGAAACCACATGCCACACAGGCGCCCGGCTTTATTCAAACTGGAGACTTTGCAATTCAAATATATAAAACAACATACACAATATTAGGGCAAGCTGACTCTGCCTCCTGCTTCCAAACGAACAAGATGTTTGAATGAATGAATTACATTTCTCATCAAACTGTAATTACGAGCTGCAATTGTAATCAACTTGTGGCAATTTGTTGACATTACTTTTAGTGACACAGGTGTTTGTTGTTACTCACTTGGCCTCCTCCAGTTCCTCAGTCTTTTGGATGGCATCAGTTTCGTACTTAGCTCTCCACTGAGCCACCTCGGAGTTGGCCTTGGACATGCCACGCTGCAATTCAGACTTGGCCTCCTGCTCCTCCTCATACTGCTCCCTGAGCAGATCACAGTCATGACGAGCAGACTGCACTGCATGGGCTAAAGCAGTCTTTGCCTGAATAAATAATGATAATGTTGGTATTCCTCTTCCACATGGACAAATATTTGAAATATTAATTAATACATTTTGCCGTTTTCATACTTTTACTTCCTCCTCTAGTTGTCTTTTTATGTCTTCAAGTTGTTGAGTGTAGCAATTTTTTCCTCTGGTCAGCTGAGAAACAAGAGATTCTTTCTCCTCCAGCTGTCTTGAAAACTCACCTAAAGAGGCCAAAGTTAGGTTTTTGAATTAGATTGTTTTACATCAAACAATGTATTCTTTTTTAATTGAAACGTGTTAAACTGACCATTCTCAGCTAGAAGCTTGGCTCTCTGAGTGGTGAAGTCATTCATAGATCTCTGATATTCATCACACTTGCTCCTGTATTCATTCATTTGATCTTCCAAAGTTCTGCAGGTCTTTTCCAAGGTAATCTTCAAAAGAAATAGTTCACAAGCAATGTTGATTACTTTTCAGAATTAAACATCGCTAGACATTTATTCACTATATTGCATCCCCAACTTAGAGGGAATAATAATAAGAAGAACAACTCAATATCATTTGAGATACTACTGTATGTGCACTGTTAACTGATGTTGCATCTCCCTAGGGCCTAGGCTATTGAATTGTCATCATTCCTTACCAGTTATCAGTCAGTTCCATCAGTGTGGAAATGTACCTTGAACATCTTCATGCGCACATACCTTTGACTTGGCTATGTGTTCCATATTGGAGACCACATCATCCAGCTCCAGTCTGAGCTCACTCTTCTCCTTCTCCAGTTTCTGCTTGACTCTCTGCAGGTTGTCTATCTGCTCTCCTAGATCAGCCACACTGTCAGCTTGTTTCTTCCTGAGTGTGGCAGCAGTGGCTTCGTGCTGCAGAGTAGCCTCTTCAAGGTCTCTGCGGAGTTTCTGTAGCTCGGCCTCTCTCTTCTTGTTCATCTCAATCTGGGCAGATGTTGCTCCACCAGCTTCCTCCAGCCTCTCACTGATCTCCTCCAGCTCTCTGGACAAGTCGGCTCTCTGCTTTTCCACCTTAGCTCGAGCAGATCGCTCTGCTTCAAGCTCTTCTTCAAGCTCCTCTACACGAGCCTAGTGTCAGAACAACATATTTTAATGTGAGTTATAATGGGAATTTCCTAACTTTTAATGAAGTTCCTTTAGTTGTACCTGCAGCTCCTTCAGCTTTTTCTGGAGTTGAATGATGATTGTTTGATCATCTTCAATTTTCCCGTTCAGCTGGCTGATCTCAAAGTCTTTCCTGCAACATTTTGTTTATTTGTTACAAGATTATTGGAACATTTACAACTGGTGTCACAGTATTAAATGACCGTAGTGAATGAACAATGTCATGCTGAATGTGTACTTTTTCAGGTGCTCCTCCAGTTGTATCTTGTCATTTTCTAAATCCATTAAAGTCTCCAGGGTCAACTTTAAGTCTCCCTCCAGCTTTCTCTTAGCTCTCTCAAGGTCCATTCGAACCTTCTTCTCTTGCTCAAGAGATCCCTCAAGCTTAATACAAATAGGTTTGTTTACAACAGTCGTGAATTCATCATTTTGTAATACTTACATCATATACACTTTTGATAATAATGCTTACATCATCCACTTGCTGCTCCAGCTTAGTCTTGGCCTTGGTCAGAGTGTTGACTTTGTCTTCTTCACTCTGAAGATCATCCAGTGTTTGCTGATGAGATTCCTGTAGGGCTTTCTTTTCTTTGGTCAACTTAGCAATGATTTCATCCTGACCAGCCATCTCTTCCACCAGGTTCTTTACCTATTCATTCATGAAAGTATAAGTTACTAGAGGCCTGATCAAGTTACTGATCCAAAAAAAGATGTTAAGATAAGTTTCATACCTTGTTCTCTGTGGCATGCTTTTCTTTCTCCACCTTAGCCAGAGTTAACTCTAAGTCATCAATGTCTTTCTTCAGCTCAGAGCACTCATCCTCCAGCTTCCTCTTCTTAGCAGTCATTTCAGCATTCATCTCCTCTTCATCCTCCAGCCTTTCCGTGAGCTCTTTGCCTTTTGCCTCAAGCTGGATCTTGCTCTTGATCAGCCCCTCACATCTTTCTTCTGCATCACAGAGATTATCTTGCTCCTACGAAACATCTCACTTCATTAGCACATACATCAATGACAGGACATTTTCAAAAAATACATTTCATTTGAGATAGCATTCTCACTGTTTGAACTTGGAGCTGCAGATCGTTCTGCTCTTGAAGCAGAGAAACCATTTTCTCCTCCAGTTCCTTTCTACGAGCTTCAGATTTTGCAAAGGCCTCCTTCAGCTTCAGGAATTCTTCCTTCATGTTGGCCATTTCCTTTTCTGATTCAGCCGATCTCAATAGGGGTTTGATCTTGAAGAACAGCTTCATCCAGGGCCAATTCTTGACCCCCATGAATGAACGGACATTCCATTGGATCACCAATAATGCTTCTCTAAAATATGTGTTGAATAAAATGAAAGGCTATTAATCAACCAACAATAACCTTTGAATTGTTACCGATGTCATCAGCTGTAAACATAAGGTACCTGCGTTCCACAATCTTCTGATACTCAATACGAGACAAGAGGCCACGGGATCTGGCTTGAATAGCAGTGATGATTTTGGAGAGACGCTCGTCTCTCATCTCCTCAAGCAGACCCAGCAAACCAGCCTTGAAGAACACCTAATAACAACAATGGGTATTTTACTTTTGTGCTACCTTCTTCATCTCCTACCGATTGTTTATTCTCGTTCATATCAGAAAACGTCAGATGATACCTTTGTGTGTCCAAACTTGTACTGATTGTGGTCAATATCCAGAGACCCAAGAAGTTTCTCAGCTCCCTTCCTGCTGTCAATGAACTGGCCGTCAGGAATGGCAGCGGCATTCAGAATGCGATATCTGAAAAATTAAATATTTGTAAAAATCTGATAATAATATTCTGGACTTCTGCTTCTAATTTGAAAGGGCCGGGCTTGAGTCTGATAATACCTCTGTTTGAAATCTCCATACAGGATCCTGTTGGGAAAGCCCTTCCTGCAGATCCTGATGCCTTCCAGCACACCGTTACAGCGCAGCTGGTGCATCACCAGAGGGTTCTCCATGGCCCCAGGAGTCTTGGTCTCATTGGGGATGATGCAGCGTACAAAGTGAGGGTGAGTAGACCTCAAGTTGGTCATCAGCTTGTTCAGGTTTTCCTATTAATATGATGAATCACATATTTATAGCTGGCTGTTAAGATATTCAGAACCATACAAAATATAATATCCTAGGATAAAAGCAGTCATAGACAATACCCTGTGAAGTGCGGACACAGTCTGAAACGATGCACCCTTCTTCTTTCTCTTCTCTTTTTTGCCTTCTTGCTCCTCACCTGCAACTGTTAAGGAAAATAACTGTTAAAATGTAACCTTTTAGCTAGACAAGAAAGGGTGTAATTTCCAAACAAGATATTCATGCCAGGGTACCTGGATCAGCTCCAGCATAATTAATGAACAGGATGGATAACAGCTTGAGATTGGACTTCTGGTAGAATCCAATAACAGTCTCATTCAGAGGATCCTTGTTTTTCACCAGCCAGTTGACGATATTATAGTCAACAGTTCCAGCGTAGTGCATCAGGGCAAAGTGGGCCTCTGGTTTTCCTTTGATACCTCTGGGCTTCTGGAAGTTGGCAGACTTCCCGAGATGGTTGTCATAGAGCTTGGATTTAAAGGTAATATCAGAGGCTTTGGGGAACATGCACTCCTCTTCAAGGATGGACATGATACCCATGGGCTGAAAGGAAAAAAATGTAAATTGTTTCAAAAGACTTGCTCCTTGTTGATTTAAGAAAATGTAATATTCCACTCTCTTACCTTTTCAATCAGGTCAATACAGGCCTGCAAATCCATGCCAAAATCGATGAAAGTCCATTCAATGCCCTCTTTCTTGTACTCTTCTTGCTCCAGCACAAACATGTGGTGGTTGAAAAACTGTTGCAGCTTTTCATTGGTGAAGTTGATGCACAGCTGCTCAAAGGTGTTCAACTGTAAAGACAAAAAACAGGTCAGATTTTCTATCCATTTTATGTTGGGAGAGAGCTGGTCAAATCAGATAACTCACATCAAAGATCTCAAATCCAGCAATGTCCAGTACACCAATAAAGTACTGGCGGGGCTGTCTGGTCTCCAGTGACTGGTTGATTCTTATCACCATCCACAGGAACATCTTTTCATAAATAGCCTTTGATAGAGCTCCAACAGAGTAGGTCACCTTTGGAATAGGCAACATACATTTGAAATTTAGCATGCAACCTTTATCCCTTGCAGAAGTAGCCATATGGAAAACATAATGTGCTCTTTTAATAGTTTTTAGAACAGTTTGTTTTTTCTTACTTGAGCAACACTTTGTCCCTTTGTGACCCACTCATTTCCGACTTTGACTCTCGGGTGACAGAGACTTTTGATGAGGTCGGAAGTGTTCAGGCCCATCAGATATGCGATTTTGTCAGCATCTGAAGACAGAAAGTGAAGGTTATAAAACTGAGGTCTGATACAAAGGACAGTGTTAGTCTTGGTTGGTTAAGAGCAAACGTGATTAACAGAGCTTCTCTCACCTTCAGTGCCATCAGCCTCTGCCTGCTCCTCTCGCTGCTTGGTCTTGAACTTCATATTTCCATGATGCATGATGGCACCAGTCAGCTTGTACACAGAGTTCTTTTCCTCTTGAGTAAAGCCCAACACATCAAAGGCACTCTGTGGAGTAGTACATCATATCTTCTTTAGCTTTGATTAAAATTATACCTTCTAAAAGAACAATAAATGCTATTTTGATCACTTTCTAAAGTTGTAAAGTCCTGTCTGAGTATTTTAAATTATGCAGTGTTTTGGTGTCTGAGAAGTCTTTAAACACATTGATCTGTTAATCCAACTAGATTGCATCAACGGTATCATTATGGTTAGAGTTTGATGTCAAATTGTAAAACCGAGGAATGATTATCAGCCTCACATCTGTTGCCTCCAGTTCATCTGCATCAACAATAGAGGCCACTGTGGTTTCCCCCTGAGAGATGAACGGGTAGTCATAGGGATTATTTGTAATCAACAGCATCTCTGGAGGACAAAGAGAGAGGGTGAGACAAGGTCAGACAGATGCAATCATACAAAGTGCCTTCATTTGGTCTTGGTTTGGTAGTCAACCACCACCAAGACACAAAGGAACCCCAGCCTTGCACTAACCCAGGAGTTCAGGCTTCTTGTTGGACAGAATCTGGTAGAAGATGTGGTAATCTCTCTCAGCCTTGAGCTGGAAGACCACACGAGATTTCTCCAGAAGGTCTGACAAGGGACAAATACAGGAGAGAATATATGGCCATGTGTAAAATCAACTTTATTATTGTTATAAATGATTTATTAAATCATGTTTTCTGCATCACTGTTTAACATATAAGGGTGTTTGTCCTTACATGTTTCAATATCAGCAGAGGCTAACTTTCCCCTGGTATCAAAATGAATTCGAATGAATTTACCCTGAAAGAAAAACATTTGTCCTTTGTAACTACATGATTGCGTTTTCAAGTGAACTGAATACAAAATAATCACAATTTATTCACACGGGGATTAGATACTTACAAATCTGGAAGAATTGTCATTCCTGATGGTCTTGGCATTACCAAAGGCCTCCAGAGCAGGGTTAGCCTGGATGATTTGATCCTCCAGAGAACCCTGTCAAAGAGGAACATTGTGTGGACTCATTTTTGTTTAAAGCTACACAAAGAGACTTTAGCAACCTCTGGCTGCAGTTATTAAAAAGTTTGAAGACATTTTAAGTTTACAATTTATATAGCAGAGAAGCTGTCGAAAGTGGAAATCATGACAGGATTGTTTGTGAATTTGTAAGATACTATAAACCGGTAATTTAATCAAGCAAGGTAGCAAAATCTATTCAATGTCAGTTCAGACGGCTAAGTTATGGGAGTTAAACTTATCTTTTTGTATAATGATTTAATCTGTAGTTTCAATCAGAACCTCTCTGGCAACTCACACATTTGACAGAGTTATAATTATTATTATTTATTATTATTTACCTTGTCTTTGGCATTGGGGTCTTTCTTCATGCCTCCAGATGCAATACTTGCAAAATACTGGATGACTCTCTTTGTGTTGACAGTCTTTCCTGCACCAGATTCTCCACTGTAATTGCAAACTCAAAAATCAATACCCAATGGCATCATAGAATAAGATGTTATTGCACAGCATATAGTGTCATTTTTGATAATCAAGTAAAACACAATACATACGTGATCAAAATAGACTGGTTTTCCCGGTCTAAAAAAACAAGTGTGCAGAAAGTGCAATATTGTAAGTATCAAGATTCAGCATAATAACATCTAATAAAGATTACCGAAGCATTATTGGTCATTTTTACCTGACAGCATGTACTGGTATCCATTATCAGAGATGGAGAAGATATGAGGAGGAGCTTCAGCCCTCTTCTTTCCTCTGTAGGCAACAACCACCTCTTGGTTGTAGACTGGCAGCCCCTTGTAGGGGTTGACAGTCACGCAGAAGAGCCCAGAGTAGGTCTGTGAGATACAGAAACATTGTTATTGTTTTACCAAATACTACTTCTAAATCGAACTTTTTTATGTTTATGATATATTGAAGATTCCAAGTTTTGGACACACTGTAACCTTGGATTCATATACTACAAATATTTCGTATTGAAATCTTAAAAGAGAACTAATTCATACATTTCTATGTAAAGGTGTATTTGATAACCTGGATAACATGCAGCCACTAGATGGCACACTCCACCTCACCCTTACATTTTGTTCACTATCAAAGCATTTGGTTGCTATTTTGATTCAAAATCAGCATATGTAATGGACAGTGAAGATTACCATTCAGGTTTCAAAGAAAGCTTTATTTAGCTTACCAGATAAGAAGAAGAGTGACTGCCTCTGATATAATTGTCAGCCTTTAAAACTACTTCAGCTGAGTCCAAAGAGCAAAAGCAATATTCACCATGGTCTTCCTCCTTTTTTCACTGAGCATTTTGGATTGGAACAGGAGTAAAGCCTGGCCAATACTGTTGAATTATTCATTTGGTTTTTTTCCACACAAACAGGCCACTACCAAGATAACAGAGATCACATCTGCCTTCTTAGCAACAGCATTTAATGAAACAACAATTTAAATTGAGGTAAACAGAAAATTCCTTTGGAACCCCTCAAAATTAAAAAGGAATTCACTTCCATAAGTTGTCTATAAAGAAAATCCATACTTGTGTTCTGTAACTTTTCAAAAGCTCATTAGATATATTTTTTTATTTGTCTACATCAAAATGTTCTCAATACTACTTTTTAGAGTAGGTGCAAAATGATAGCTGAAAACGTTTTTTTTAGAGTGTAAACTTGGTGCACGGTACGGCTCATTGACAAACCGTATTCATTGTATTGTCGGCTACTCACGTAGATCATCCATGCTGCATAACGCTCTTTGAGATTAAACAACACAGCTGGTTCGTGGAGGAAGGTCAGCATGGCCATGTCCTCGATCTTGTCAAACTTTGGAGGATTCTGTTGCATGATGTCGACATCTTTGATAACGACAGTCTGAGAAAAAAAAAGTGTTTTGTGAGACAATTTATTTTTGTTTATGCTGCCTGCTCATTTTGTTAACCTCCATGTGCTGCCTTATCATTGTCAACATTGCATGTGAAACATTACAAAGCATGCCACGCATTGTTAGTGACAGATGGCAGCAATACACCGTCTCATCACACACATCACCCGAGACACAAATCATACATATTTTTTATCGCCACTGATATACAAGTGTTGTCCACATGCTGCCTTCTGGTCAATTCATAATAATGAAATATAACAAATACTGTGTTAGAGTCATTCCTCACACTATTGTTACACATTTTGACATAAAGGTTAGACTTATAGGTTAATCGTTATTTCATCATTGCAACTATGATAAGAAAACCATATGTGTTGGTAATAATTTTAAAACTAAATGTCTGAATTGTTATGTAAACACTGACCTTCCCATTCGCCGTCTCTACAGTGACCTTGCTTCCTTCTCTGCTGGTGATGGTTGCCTTCACAAACTCTTCCACTGCATCCGGGACGAAGCATTCCCTCTTTATGTCGAAGGGACGCGTGGAAGCCTCCATACGCTCCTTGTCCGATTTCCTTAGGTACGAGGCAGCCGGCCCAAACACAGCCATCATAGCATCCCCCATGGCTGCTCTGCTTTACAAACATGTAGAGAGGATACAAGGTTTTACACGTCTGTATCACATATTTCAGCCTTTAATACTCATTATCATGCATTGCCAAGTAAGCATTAGTAAAGGAAATTGTACCTGTGATGTCAACTCAGATGACAGATAAACTCAAGACTGGTATGGGTAAATCTGAAATAGACAGAGAAAAAAATAAATGAGATATTTTAAAGATATTGTAAAAGAAAAGGAATTACAGTAGTTTAGCATCAGTATTTGTAAAACTAACTGGTCTCTTTTTCTACTTACAAGTATTTTGCATCATTAGAATAACATAGTTAGTTCAAAAGATAAAAAAGTATAAAAGCATGTAAAAAGCAAAAAGTGGTTTCTCCTCACCTCTTTTTTGAGAAATGAGACCACTTCTAAAACATTTACATGTTGTTTAAACTCCAGAATAATACAGCATGAATACAGAATTGATCCTGTGATGCAGACTTACCGAAGCCAGATGCTGAGGAAGCCTCTTCTAGACCTGTGGGGAAGGCAGGGATGAAATATATAACCCCAGATAATCCTGCCTAACGAGGCCAAGGGCATCACCCTGACCTATTCACTACCAAAAAAAACACGTATCTCAACAGGTTAGCTTCCAAACACTCCCCTTTACCCACTCACACACACATTGTGGTAATCGCAATCACTTTCATCACTTACGACATTGCTCTCTAATGGCTCTCTTGATGTCTGGTTGCCCTTTCTACTCACATCCAAAAAATTTGATTTTTCGGGAGTAGTGCCAGGGACTTTATCCTGCATAACTGGTCTGGGGCTCATCCAAGCATTGCCTCACTATCTATAATTCTACCACACTTTCCTTCAGTCATCTCTTGTCCTACATTCTTTTTACAAGTAAGGACTGGTCATGAATAGATACCAGGTTCTATTTATTGCCTGTAAAAACAAAAACAAAAATCTCTGTCATTGATATCAAATTCAAATGTCATTTTCCATGTATAAGCTAATCTATTTCAGCACACTTAAAGCAACATGTGGTTAAAGTGCCTTGAACACTTCGGTAAGGGTTGGAGCAAATTATTTGTCTGACACATCAAATGATAAACATAAAAATGATCAAGGCCATCCAAAAAGAACAAGTTACCAAGAAGAAGGATATAGGGAGGCTGTGGCGCAGTGGGTTAGTGCGTTGGTGTTCAGATCAGGGGAGCACAGGTTCAAACCCCACTGCAGTCAGCATGTCGTTGTGTCCCTGGGCAAGACACTTCACCCCAAATTGCTCCTGTGGGGATTGCCCACAGTATTGAGTATGTAAGTCGCTTTGGATAAAAGCGTCTAACAAGTAACATGTAATATATTCAAAATCATTTTTAAATGTGTGGCTAAGTCATTAAAAAGCAACATTGCTTGGATTGCCTTGCTGTTTATTCAGATCTTTGCATCCACAATTGTATACAGAGCAACCTCTCTGTTTTATCTTTCTCAACTTCTGAAGTGACTTGTTAAAGTAAAACAAAAAGTGAGGGTCTGACTGAGGCCCTAACTGAACAGTCTTGACCTGTATATCACTAAACCCTGAGTTAAATCTTAAAACCTGCTAGTGGAAAACACCATCCAGTGGAGGAGTCAGGCATTTATGGCTTTAACCAGCCTGTGCTGTGGGAAGCACTAACCCAAAAAGATGGGATTGCAAAATGAAATTCACCCGTTAAGTCATGGTCTGTTTGAGAACTCTTGAGTATCTGTCGTTGGTAATTCTTACTGTTGTTTGCAATGTCAATAATGTAATACTTTGCAAGCTACACCACACCAAGTGTCCACTCTGTCACCAGGGGCTAATTGACTATCACTCCTCCATTAATATTAGCTGTGGTAATCATCACCTCGTATTATAAGATGCTTATCACTGCCAGGTTATAGGTCTATTGTTTAGAGTCAAGGCCGGTCAAGCTGTGGTCGGCATCCTGTCAGCAGCCACTACAGACACTCAAGCGACAGCTCTGCCATGATATCTTGAATGCTTTGAGCCAATGAAATAAAGCTTACACAGATGGACATACTTCAAAGAAAACAATACTCACTTTAGGGATGAAAACAAAAATGTGTCAAACAATGTGTTTTATAGTAAAACAATAATGGAGAATCCAAGTCCGTCTCTTTTCAACGTGGCCACATTCCCCTTTCCCAAAACGTTTTATTACCATTTTACATCCATCCACCAGATGTTTCTGACTTTCGCTTCTTTCTCCATCACCTTCCCCCTGTCTTTGTCCTAAGAATTTACAATACATGAATGTGAATCATGTGTGGTAACTTCTGTGCTTCCTGGAAAAAGCAGATTAAACTAAAGAAGAGTAGCCAGTATATGATATGTAGTTAACGCTACTATTTTTTAAGCAAACATTGCTGCATTTATTGTAAAGTTCAGTTCAAATAAAAGGTCCCATTCCACTTCTAGACAGTGAGTTATCTTTCCATATAACTCTTGTCTCTCCATTGTTCTCTTATGATTATGGTATTAGGCTGTGTGCGGTTTATTAATAACTGTGGGTGGGATGGATATAAGAAAATGCTTTTGTTTTATAGATGCCTGACCCCATTCTCTTCTCTGCATGACTGACCACACAAACAGAGTTGGAGCCAGTTTACCAGCCACACCATCAGGGGTATTTTCAGCCTGATAGCAGCAGGGGAGATAAGGCTTCACTTTTACTAGCGTTGAGTTTAACCATGCACAGAAGACACAGTCATGAGGAATAAATAACCACTCCGGCGAGACAAAGACCTTAAACCGAAGTGTTGTTCTAGTTTATTCTCTCAGTCATTATATGGCAGCTATATTTCAGACACAACCAATTTTGTTGTGATACTGAAAATGTGTAAACTATAGCTTTTATCTACAGATTTAAATCATCCTTGGAGTAAATGTCATTGATATTGCAATGTGTAAAGCTGTGATGGATGTGATTGTTCCCATACTGTACATACATCCATCACTGTACTCTGTGATTAATGAATTTGTCAATAAAAAAAACTTCCGACATTTGTCTTTTATGTAGGAATGAACACATAGCCTCCATCTATGGCCTTCCGTTTTGGCACCCCGTTTTGGAAAATGTTCAGCAGCAGGGCGGGGGAGAGCAGAACAACAGGCAGCTGTTTGTATTCTCAGTCAGTGGAGGATCAGAGGTGTGATCCTACAGCTTACAGACCCTGTGGAGTCCTGGACGCCACACAGACACCAGGCCCATTCATGGATCGGCACTGGGAGGAGTTACACGGGGAGTATGTGGTATAATATCATCCTTGACTTAACTAATACCAAACAAACAACTAAGAGTGCCAAAAAAGAAACAATAGTTGAAGGATCCATTTTAAACAGCTGTCTACAAGAGTTGCTTGCAGGGAAGGGGTACGTAACCCTACAGTGAACAGACTTTAACACGAATATATATATATATCTATATATATATAGATATATATAAGTAATGTTCCTTTAAAGGTGGGGTAGGTAAGTTTGAGAAACCGGCTCGAGATACACTTTTTGTTATATTCCATGGAATGCTCTTAACATCCCGATAGCAATGAATATCTTAAGTGCTTTGACAAAAAATCCATACAAATATTTCATCTGTGGAATCCGTAGTACTGTAAAAAGCACGACCAATCATTTTAGCCGGCCCGGCTAAAATAACTGGATGGCCTACCTGCCTGTCAGCCTTCCTTCCTGTGCACAAACTTATCTCGTGCCCTCATTGGTCATGTGCGCGTTCGTGTGTGTTGGAGGAGGGGCTCTGTAAGGAAGTGGCAGATTTTTTCCGGCTGTGTATTTTCAAATTCTAGCGCACTCGAGCTGGTTTCTCCAAAATTAACTACCCCACCTTTAATTATATAAAAATGTGTTTTTGTTTCATAGTAAAACATCTTAAATAAAATCTGCTCCCTGTTCCTTATTGCAAAATATATGGATGTGCAAATGTTGTTCATGTCAAAGTTTTGACTGCCAATATATTTTGCCTTTTTTACAACGAGAAACTGACTTTTTTTACATACTCTTCTATAGGTATTTTATGAAATATTGCTATGATGGTTTTAAAGGGCATACTTTACTAGTTTTTTGACTTTTTTAAGACATACTATGTTCTATAACTATTTAATTGATTTGACTAAACAATTTGGGATATTTCTGATTCATATCAGTACTGCTTTTTTATGACTTTTTTGAAAAAATACAATGGTGTGACAAATTATCCTCAGACTTTTTCGACATGCTATACCAGGGGTAGGCAAGTAAGTTTGGCCGTGGGCCAATTTTTGGCTGAGCCACAAGATGGCGGGCCAGAACATAATCAAAGCCTAATTCAAGGAATTTATTTTGGTAAGAGGGCGCAGCGCCCCTGTTCCCCGGTTCAGAAAAAACTCTGATATCGCTGATAACCCTCCCCATCAACACTCTAATGCCCAGTCAGATCCGCTGATTGGTTCACTGATGATATAGGCGCCCAATCCAGAGCCTCTGGATAGACCCGCCCAAAGGGAGGATCGTCGTCTCTAGCCCCATTTCAGTCCCATGTTAAAAGTCAGGGCTATTATCTGTATTTTAACAGACTTATCTTTTAAATTGAGGTGCATTTATTGTTCTCTTCAAAGTTAATTTTCTTCTGAAATTTTAGGGAGGATGGTCCTCCCTTTCCTCAATGGACGAGCCTCCACTGAGTGAGTTATTAACTAGGTAGCAGTGTTATTTAACATACTTTTATTCTGATAAGTATTGTCAAGTTCTCTGGGTTTTTGGCATTTATTTGAGTGTTTGCCCACTATTGAGAGGCTTGAGGGGCACCAGAGGACGCATGGACCACTGGAATCCTTTTTCCTTTTCTTTATTTCAACTTTTCAAGGACACATTAGGATTCTTTCAGGTTGAAAACCTTTAAAAAATACAAAATAAATAAATTACAGCATGTTTTGCTTTGCAATTTATTTAATATATTATAACCTAAATTAATCAGTAACCAAGTATTTTACTCAACTCAATGTATTTAATAGTTAAAGGGGACCTATCATGCAAAATGCACTTTTGTACGTCTTTTATACATGAATATGTGTCCCCGGTGTTCCAGGGAACTCACCAAGTGTCAGAAAACACAACCCTCTCTATTTTCCTCCATACCCA